GAGTCTTCAACCTCGATTTAAAAGAGCTGAGAGTTTCAGCAGACCGGCAGTTTTCTGGGAGTTTGTTCAGTACCATACTGTACAATACCGTTCGTTACCCTACCATACCATACCATACCATACCATACCATACCATACCATACCATACTATGCAGTACCATACCACACCATACGACACCATATCATCTCACAGTTCTGCTTAACTCCCTGCTTAACCAATGAGTGATGACTCGCTGTGAGTGGGAGTTTATTTCGTTTCTTCAAATCTCTACCTGTGCTGTTTGACTCTGCTGTTTTCCTTTGCACCTAAATAGATTTGTATTAAGTGATTTGTGTGCGCCGGTTCTTTATTTGGATCCTTCCTGAGAGAACGAGTCCACTGAATTATGTTTTAAAATGCACACTTGCAATACTTGTGACGTTCAACTGAAGATCAGGATGCTGCTGAATGATGTGTTGATAATTAGCACACATCCTACCTGTGATCTATCATTCACATACTTTTATGTTCAACAACTACATGTGATCATAACGTTGATCATCCTTGCACGTCTTATAATAGACTGATTCAGAATAATATGAATGTGCAGCTGTAGGTATGGCTCCCCACCCACTGCTTATGAATGAGTCAACAAATCTTCCTCCAGGCTGACACAATCCGTGTTTACTGGATTTTTTTTTTGTGTGTCTTCATGTCTTTAAGTGCGGCTTCTCTTCCCTCTTGGTTAAAAATGATTCTACTTTGTGCACCGATATTTATTTCTCGAAAGAAAAACTCAACCATTTTGAAGTCTTCAGTCTCGTAATCTTGCATCCTCAACTCCGAGACAACCACTCAGTAGTGTCTTAAGATCCTTAAGTGGGTTATAGAGCGGTGATCCCATCAGGCCCCGAGTGTGTGGACCGCCTCACGCTGTGCCAGCCAAAACAAACCATTGTTCTCCAGCCGCTGAGTGTAATCGCACCTGACAGTTTACTACAGATAATCCAACTGAATGAGATGTGAACTGCTGAACTTTAAAAAAGACATCCTTGTCTATTTTCCACATGAATGATGTTCACATGTTCTCCTCTGATCGTCCTGTAGGAGCTGAAGAAAATAAACCAGAGTTGCCTTCATCCTCTGTCTCCAAATTTTATTTGTACTGGACGAAGGTGAACACCTTGTAGTTGTGCAAGATAAGTGGAGTCTGTATTTGCATTTAAGGTCAATCAATCAATCATTATTGGTATAGCTCCAATTCCTATCATGAGGTGCTTTACTAAAGAGCAGGTTAAAGACCTTACTCATTGTTATGTTGCAAAAGAAAAATGGGATATGGGATAATATGCAGGAAGAATTTCTTCTTTGTGTTGCTCTCGTTCCTGTTGTCCACACTTCCTCCCCGCTGAGGTGGAGGTCGGAGCAGGCCGAGCCGAGATTCTGCTGCCGGGACAAGACCTCCTGTGCTTCTAACACAAGGTCACATCGGTCACTTTAAGTCTTTTTTAAAGTCAAGTACAATCAGAAAATCACACAATACAGCACTGACAATAACGTGTCATTTTAATAGAGCAAAAGAACAACAACAAACGCTGTAAGTGTATTAATCTATTCACTCTGATCATGGATCCTGATTTAATGAGACCCCATCCTCCGTGGAGACCTCACATGACCCCCCTCGGACACAAACACTCACTGCAGGAAACGACCTCGTTTACCTTTTTTCCCCCCCTCACACTACCCTGTGTCGTTGAGTTAATCATTTTGATGCACTCTTAAACGTCAAATCAGCTGAAACTGATGACATCACTCGTTGCGATATCAAAGAATCAAGTGCTCGTGGTGCTGGTGGCGCAGTTGTTAGTACGTGCGCCCCATGTATGGAGACTGTAGTCTTCAAAGCAGCGGCCCGGGTTCAAATCCGGCCTGTGGCTCCTTTCCCGCATGTCATTCCCCACTCTCTCTCTCCCTGATTTCTGACTCTATCCACTGTCCTATCTCTCAATTAAAAAAGGCACAAAGCACAAGCCCAAAAATAAATCTTTAAAATTTTTTTAAAAAAATCAAGCGCTGCATGGGAGATGAGTGGACCTATCGGGTTTCTTATCTGATGATTTGAGGAAAGTCTGGCCACCTTTGATTTGGACAGTTTGAAAATAAAACTATGATTCTTTTCTGGGGGAGAAGTTCAAACACACAGCTACAACAGAGCAGAGGCAGCTTTTAGTGGAAACAAAAAGAAAAGACAAATAACTTTTGGCTGTCTACCATCACTTAAAGGACTTAGATCCTAAAGAGAAGAGAGCAGAGTGAAGACAGTGGAGGTACAGGAGGCGGGATAATCGCTGCCAGATGGTTGTCATGCTCTTTGGACATTAGTTAGCCTGCACTGCACGTCAGCCTCCTGCAGCTCCCTGACACATCAACCAGAGCTGACCTAAATAACCATTGTTAATGGAGAAGCTGTGTTTCATTTCTTTTTTGTGTGAATGCTTTTCTCCTTACAGTAATCATTTACTGTATGTGTCCCAACAAGCACCACTTGCAGCTGCTTTCCAGCTGAGCTCCTTTACTTTAAACTCTTGTTAACGAGGTCATCTCTCCGTCCTCAGATTACCGTGTACTTCTATTAAATCTGGTGTGGGAGCATAACCCAGCCCGAGGTTGGGGTCTATTGACATGTCAGTTGTTTACCGTCGCTGCTGCATGAACAGAGTGTTGTTGGTCAGTGGAGCGGCCCGCTTATTCAGTGGCCGGGCTCGAGACACTCTGTTATTGTTTGGGCACATTGAGTGGGCTGGAAATGTTTTTGGGACACAGAAATGAGCAGGCAACAAGAACCATGGAGGGAATTTAACCCCATGGCCGTGCTTTGTCCTTCTTCATTCTTGGAGGGGTTGCAGTAAATATTCATCCTTCAAAACACGGCACACAAACTGATTTTGTATTTATACTTGTATTTGTATGTACTTGTATTTAATATTGCAGTCAGAAGATAATACAAGAACTTAGTTGTCAATCAATCAGCCCATTGGAAACAAGGCGTGTGAAACTTGACTAAGATAAGATAACCCTTTATTGATTTATTTATTTAAGAACATCCTGGAACAGAAAGTGTTGAACTTGGAGTGACATGAGGGAAAGCAGCCATAGGACGGACTCGAACCCGGGCCACCTGCCTGGAGGACTGCAGCCTCTGTACATGGGGCATGTGCACTAACCACCAGGTCACCAGTGCCATAACAGTTTGATTTGATTAATTTGATCTCAAAATGTGGAGTTGACGGTCTGATCGCAGAGGTAAATGTAACACATGGGTGAAAACCTGCACAATACCTGCAGGACTGACAAGCGTCACCGTGCAAACACATGAAGCGATGCAGGATAAAAAAAAAAACAGCGCTATAAGCGTTGGCGCTGAAGTTCAGTTTCAGTTTTACTTTTGTAAAGACAGATTTAAACAGCGGTTTTGAAATAGAGACATCAAATCCAGCTTAGAATCATCAGCTGACTTTCCTTTCCAACTCAGTGCATCTGCATGTAAAAACTGTGTGTCCCTGAAAGCATCGCTGAACGCGGCCTGCTGTGTTTGCTGAGACGAGGCTTCAATGGTTGGAAGCATCAAGTGCAAATGAAGCAAAGGCAAATTGATATCCAGCCTTCCATTTTCTAATCTGCATATCCATTGCTTTGAGGATGAAGAGAATTATGTCAGCAAGGTTGAATTACATTATAGGAAAGTTTGCATGGAGACTCTGGTTACAGGACTGAGAGAGTTTATGACTTTCAGTCTGACAATCAAGAGGTATTTCAGAGATCTGCATGTATACGTCCTATTTTATTCAATGTCTTAAATTTATACTTAAAGCATGTTCTGTGTGATAAACATCGGTGCCTTCATATTTTGCTGCAGATTTAGAAGCAAAGCTCTGCATAACCATTCAAACCCGTACAAGCGCACACGTTCATTTACAAAACAGTAGTCGCTTGCATACATCTCAGAGCTGCTTTACAAATGAACATGCATTTCTTACTTTGTCATCTATTGTAAAAATCTATATTCTTCTATGATTCTTTTTCCCATCCCATGATCTGCATCCACTTTTTTAATAATTATTTTCTGCTCATTCCTAATTTTTTACTCCATCATGTTCCGATGTAAACTTTTCTTTTTTATCGTTTCTCAGGCATCCACGTTCTATTGGACTTTTGATGGCCTGATTGTAGAAAAGGGACAGTGGATAGAGTCAGAAACCAGGGAGAGAGAGAGAGAGGGGAGTGACATGAGGGAAAGCAGCCACAGGTCGGATTCGAATCAGGGCCGCCTGCCTGGAAGACTGCAGCCTCTGTACATGGGGCATGTGCACTAACCACCAGGTCACCAGCGCCCTAACAGTTTGATTTGATTCATTTGATCTCAAAATGTGGAGTTTCCAGTCTGATTGCAGAGGTAAATGTAACGCACCATTAGCAGCACAAGAGTGAGTGCTGTCAGATAGGGCCCCCTTCGGAGGGTTTCTGACTGTCATTGCAAACTTTTGCACCCCAAGATGTTGCCTGCCTTGGCCATTGACAAGCAGCACCTCAGCCCTTTTCAAACATGGACTTAAAAAAAATCAAGACATCACAGAAAGTGTGCTCTTATTGTTATTGTTATGTTGCTTTGTTTGTCTGTATATATTTTTTATATCTTTGAAATTTGTAAATACAATTAAAAGTAATATCCTAGTGCTTATACATCATGAAAAGGATCCTAATTGAGATTTCAATTAGTACCAATGCATTCCATTGCCTTAAAGGAGCCGTAGAGAAACTCATGCACTTCTTCGGCGTTGAGGTGTCACTGGCCCTTTAAGAGATGTTTTGACTCCGCACGTGCTTTCCTTATATGGCTGCAGCATCAAACGGTGACCGCTAGTTACCTCTGCTGCTGCTCTCCTCTGCTCGGCTGCGCATCGAGCTGCGCTATAAAAGCCTGCTGGAGGAAAAAAAAAACTGTTTTCGTTAGACACTGAGACCCAGAACAGAGGAGCACCGCGGAGGAGAGAATTTAACTCACAAGTTTTTAACTTCTTTTGGACAAGGATTCTCATTTGATGACAGAAACAGAGAGTGGATATTCACAGCGTTCAGGATAAAGGTCGGTGAGTTTTTTTTAAGGGTTTTCTTCTGTGGGGGTTGATTTTGACTTTCTTTGTTGGCTCAACAAAGAGATGTATGTCATCGTGTTAAAGATAATACATTTTCACACCACTATTTTTTCATGGTATGCCATTTTTTGTTGTTTTCATGTTGGGTTTAAGTGTTTAAAAGCATGCAACAATTAAATCTTCTCCCGAATTCGCTACTTTTATTTTTTTTAATTTTTTGTCTTCTTATCGTCGCTAAATTTGACATAAATGTGGATATGGCGACATGATAGTTTATCTTGAAGGCAACGCCGTTGTTAAAGTGAAATGACAAGTTTTGCCCTTGTTGGTTTTTGCCTTTTTATTACGTCTGAAGTATCCTCTCTTCCACCGTCTGCGACTATAGGACCAGTGTCAAGTTAACCACAGTCAAACACGGAACTTCCGGTTGGGGTTCATAAAACAAAAGGTTTTAAGTTGCAGCTTCTTAACTTCGCTTTTAATTTGAGCGTTTATTAAGACATTGAGAAATTAAATACAACCTCTATTTTCATTCTTAATTGTGGCTTTTCAGCTTACCTACACCACTTTTTCTATCTTTGAGTTTATTTGCCCTTTAAGTGATTTAGCCTATTTGTGAGTCACATTTGTTGCAGCTTTATTCTGAAAGGGCATGTTCCTTACATGTAGTCTCATTTCTGATGGCTTGATTGTGTTGTGTCTCAGCATCGACTGTAACCTCGACTCGAGAGAACAATGAAACTCAAGTAAAGAAGTCAATCACAGAGATGAAGAGCTTCTTTATAAATATGTCGTGATGTTGTAAATATGTCGCCTTAATTAACCCCTTTATGATTCTGACCATGACGGGATGTCTTTAATTTCGAAATGCTCTTTTTTCGACATTCAGAGAAGTCATAAAGTGGTTTTAATGTTTTCATTGAGTGTGTGTCTGTAGTGTTGGAGCAACGTCGAGGAAATTGTTTCCTCTCTTTGTTTCTGTTTTCCATTATCCTCTTTTTTTTTCTTGTAAAGCATCGACGCTCAAAACGTTTTTTTCCCAGATTGACAAAATGAAAATGTCTCTTTTTTTACCCCCAAATCGTTTTTATTTTTTATTTGATTTATTTTGAATAACCTGTCGTGTGTGCTCCGAAATCAATGAAGACACAGATGTGCAGGGGGAAAAAACAAACCCTGTATGAATGTGCTATATAACACGTGAGCGAGAAATGATGGTAAACAAGTATTAAAAAAAGAGGCCGTACATGTGTTTGCCACTAGAGGCGCTGTGGCTCTGCACCATTTGGGCTCAGCAGAGAGAGAGAGAGAGCGTCTCTCTCATCTCTGCAGAACAGAAGATGTGTTTTCATCACCGTGTTTACCTAAACTCCGATCAGCCACACAGAGGAGGAAACTCGACAGAAAACGAGTAAAAATCATCTCACTGTAAAACTGCAATTAAACACGAGTAGAATCAAGCGCGCGCACATTGCATGACATCAAGTTTTTTTTTTTTTTTCAGTGGGTAATAACCATGTAAACATGATGTCATTCATCAGACGACGAAGGGGGGCAACTGAAGAGCCACAGCTTCATTTAGCAATTAATTGATATTTTTTTTAAAACGACACCATCCGGATTAAAATCATTCAATGTGTAAAAAAGCTTTCTTTTTATACAATCTGATCACCCACGTCTTCAGCAACATTGTAAACAGCCATATGTGAATGTAGGAGGTGTTATGGTAGCTCAGTCTTTTCATTGGATCAGTGCAGTGAAGTAGTCGCCTATGCTGTGTTAATCTGTGCATCATTTCCACGTCGTCCTGTGCATCTTTCATCCAGTCACGGAGACGGTTGTGTTATATTTAAATACATGTGTCAGTCAGGTATTACAGTTTAATATGTGCCCTGTATGCTGTCATTAAAATAGGTGAGTCATAACAGATGTGCCAGTACAGCCGATGAGGTTCATCGGTCACCGTTGTTTGTTCATCACAAAGTTCCTGTTGGTTTTTGTATTGCAACATTTCATGCATACCAGTGGATTTAGGCTGTGTGATGCTGCCAAGTCCACGCAAGGGGGGAACATTCAGGTTTTTATGTTGGGTTAATAGAACAAAAGGTCAAATGTTGACTGTTAGCCGCACATCTGTTGAGACAAAAACAACTTTAATGTCTTTTTGAACATCCCTTACAGCTATTATGTAACACCAGAACACATAAATTAAGGCTGCCGTGTAATAAAAGAGTCTCAGCCTCCGTGTAATTCAAGCCTGCTGGGGGTTACATGAGAATATAGTGTCATGATTAAATGAGAAAATGTGGCATAAAACTGAAGGCTTGTTTAAATATGGCAGCACGGTGGGGTTTTTTTAGGCGTAGACTGTGTCCTTGACATAACTGTGCTATCATCCCACTCTCTTTGACAAACAATCAGCTTTATTCTGCACAAAGGTCACTTAAAAAAAATAAGCAGGACAGCCTTAAATTCAGGCCAACTAAAGTTAACCATCAAACCCAGTCGAGCCTCCAACATTAGTAACAGTGGTACATGTTAAAGGAACTTTAGACACGGATGTTCCTTTGCGCCCATAAATTAATTCAATGAATTTTTGTGCTGCTGTTCTTAATGAGTTTGATACGGTCGCTCATGGCCTCCTCATTCACACTCTGTAATATTTATTCTGACTCCACTGCTTGTAAATAGTTCCATAAATTACATCTCCGATAGATTAAGGTCCTGACACACCAAGCAGAACTGGTGGCGTCACTTTTGTCTTGGCCAAAAAGTTGCACTTGAACACACCGCAAAGACTACAGCCGACGGCCAACCGTTCTGCGCATGCCTGAGAGGAAATAACTAATAAATAGATAAATGAAACATGCAAACAGCTGACGATCTCCTTGGTGTGTCTGGGCCTTTACATTGTGCAAGACAGGAGATAGTCAGAGTTTCGACTACTAACAAGTAGTGTTCCACAGGGCTCCATCCTGGGACATCAATAGTTTCTGCCATTTTCAGATTGCCAGTTGAAGGCGGGATACTTGCGCCCCTGTAATGCCTCGCCTGCCATATGTAGCCATTTTCCGAGTGTTATTTTACAATCTTTGTATTGATTCCGCAACAGCTGAATATTTGTGTCCCAATCTGTGAATTCCCCGTTGCTTGACGGCGTTGTGGAAGCACGATGTGTAGAGAAACAGCGGGAACTCCACATGTACATACACTTGGAAAAGCAGACACACTGCGGCTACGCCGATCCCGTCTCTGTAAACATTCAAGTCGTGACCTTATAATCCTTGTGTGCTGTAACCCGTGTTGACCTTAATATAGGAGTTAAGAGTCTCAGTGTTGAGTCACTGGACGGGTTTTTGAAAACAGTGGTTTTATTAACTACCCAGATAACAAAGTGATCATTTTTTCAAGAAGCACCCGCTCAATGGCATTTTGTTGTCTTCTTTGGCGTAATGGGAGGATGTGGTGCTGTGATCCTACTGGTTACATAAAACAAAGTCAGATCACCAATCGGAGGACTTTTGAATCTGCAAACAGGGCAAACAAATACGCCGAAATGTGTGCACCCCACACATGTTGACATACGGGATGAATCACCTGCTATCCAGTAAATCTGACAAAGCAGAGTGGCTGATTGAGTTAAAGATTTTTTCTGTGTTTGATGTCCCTCTGATTAATGTTATTTAACCCTTTAATTGTGATTAATCAGTGGGTGGGGTCTTTAGCTAAGATTGATTGATTTACATGAAGTGTTGGGGGTGGAGCGCTGAGGTGTCGTCTAGGTGAGAAAAGGCTGATGAAAGGTGTCCAGCTTCCCTAAAAAAACTGCCCACCACCCACTCATCCTTCCAGTCGGAGATCAGTGTGAACTTTGGACAGATGAGTCTATATCAGGTGGACCAGAATTTGCAGCGTTTAGCAGCTTTCCTCAGTCATCGGTCGACCTGTTGCGCTGGTTGTTGCTGAATTGCTTTCGGCTGGTTCTTTGATTCAGAGAGGGACACTTTTGATCTAAAAGGTGTGATCATAACTGTGGACCTGGTAACTCTGTCTGATAACACTCTCTGCTGCTCTTGTGTTTGGACATTGTGGTTTTGTTTCTCAGCTGTTGCATGCATTTGGTTATAGTTTGCTGATGTAATGAGTCTCTGTTCTGTTTTCACATCAGCTTTGTGCGTCACTGTTTTTTTTTGTTTTTTTTGCATTAACCACATCTCACTGCTGATGGGGTTGAATCTCTTACATAGCCGGGAAAGTGTGTATTTCATGTCGTAGGCTTGACCATCTTGTTTTGTGTCTTCACAGTGGGGAGCTGGAGCGTACTCAGTGAGGTTGGGAAGACGACGTCAACATGGCCGTCTCCACTCAGCTGGGTTTACTGCTTTGGAAGAACTTCACCTACAGACGGAGACAGACAGTAAGTAGACGTTTTAAACTGAGTTATGAGAACAATAGAATGACTTCTAATCTCATCCTGCTTTGTACTTGAATTTGTTTTCTTTGGGAAAAAGTAATGAAGGCAGTTTTTGTTGCTTCTTTTTGTTCTGACACAGACCTTGGGCAGCGTTTACAGGCCTCACTTTTTTTTTGGGGGGCTTTTTTTTACACCTTTACTTAGAGACAGAACGGTGGATAGAGTCAGAATGGGCGAGCCCACCCATCTGGAGGACTAGCCTCCGTACATGGGGCGCGCACTCACCCCTAGGTCATACAATTTCAGTCTGTTTTGTCACCAGCTAAAAACTCCTCACAGGAGCTTTAACACAAAAATAAACATTTGTATTTAAATCTCTTTGTCATGAGACTCAAACATTATCCGACTTTCTACACCACCAGAGAGAATAAAAAAACTTAAAGGCAAACATTTTTATTTATCTGTTGTCAATATTTCCCCCGGCATACTTTCTCATAAGCAAATTTACTCTGAACCGCTTTTCCTGTATGTTGGTTTTTAGGATATTACAAACAAGGTTGTCACAATGTGAGAATTTAAAACTTTTTTTATGATACCAGTAAAAAAAATCGCATGATATTGATGTCCTATAGGGACCAAATACTGAGCGATTTCTTGATTTGAATAGCAGGAAAATGCAAACAAACTCCTTTGTAGTTGGTGGAGCCTAGTTGGTGGAGCCTAGTGGGTAGAGCGCATGCCCCATGTGGTCAGAGGCCGAAGTCCTCGATAGCGTGCACTCTTAAACCTAACCTGTGGCTCACTCTCTCCCTCTTATTTCTGACTCTGTCTACTGTCCTCTCTCTACTGAAAAGTCCTTAAATTGTTCAAATATGATGCCAACTTATTCATACAGTTTAGACCGTGCTCTGTCGTTTTCCTTCGCTGCAGCTTTCAGTTTAAAAAAATGATCTAAAAGTTTTGGTACTTTTTGATTCTATGGATCATAAAAATGACACAGATTGTTTCCTTGGTATTTCAAAAGTATCAAACACATCTTGACATCCTCGTGTCAAAGAGTCCGTAGATGTCCTCATTGAATATGATGACTGCAGCCATGGAAGTGATGTCATCGTCCTCCGAGCCACATGGACGGGAAAGCTTCACGTTTTACAGACTCCTGTGACTCAGTCAAAGACGTGAGGATGACACATCCTCACGTCCAGTTACCGCCTTGTTGCCCACACGCTCTCAGATTTATGTAAATCAGGATGCGTCTGGCTACAGCATACTGAGGACACTCATCTGCATACAATGAAGCCGTCTGACCATCAAGCAGAAACCTCTTCCTCAGAGTGACGGCTGCTTGACACTCAGTCCAGTGACTCCCAACAAAGAGATCCAGTGCGTTCTCTAAGACAGTGACTTTATTCTTTATCCCCGCGCTGCACGTCTGCTGGGCTGTTTAAGGCCGGGAACAGATGGACAAGTCATAGTCCTCTAAACCCTGCAGACCTCTCCCTGTCTCGTGCTGTCTCCCCTTATTAACCCACATACTCTTTACCCGGTCTCATGGTGGGATTACAGTTGACTAGGGACGACAGCTGACCCCCCCCCCCCTCCTCTCACACAAAACTCGGGGTGTTTTTTTCTTCTAATAAAGCAGAAGGGATTACCTTAGCTGAACTGACTGTGCACAAAAACTTCAAAGCAAAAATTAAACACGGCGAGATTAAAGATTTTTTTTTTACCCCCCAAAGAGTGAATTTTATTTAGCTAGATGAATGTTTCTCATCACGCCTTGTTGTCTTTGTCTTCTCAGATCCAGCTGCTGATTGAGATCATCTGGCCTCTCTTCATCTTCTTCATCCTGATCTCGGTCCGAATCCATTATCCTCCCTACGAGCAGCATGAATGTAAGCTTCAAAGAAATCACATTTGCATATTTTGCATCGCAGCCGAGAGCTGAAATTAACTTAAAAATACAAAAGAGTCAAGGAGTGACTTTTGATTTTCATGTATTATCTGTCGGGTATCTCTACCTCCACCTCAACACCAGTATGTTTTAAACTCTCATCATGATTATGAGATTATCTTTTTTCCACTTTTTGAAGGCTTTTTCTGTTCGTTTATTTTTGATAGTGTGTCCCACTTCCAGGAAAGATCAACATGTTTTTGTTACAGACGGATCAGATCCGTTTGTTAACATTTGTTTGCTCTGCGTGGACTCGTGACAGGACCTTCAGCTCCTGGAAAAAAGAGAGTTGTTGCTCAACTCAAGCTCAGTTAGTTTCACAACTACGACCGCGTTTCAGCTCAACAAGATTATCAACTGCTCGACATCAAAAAACACCCGACCAGCATTTACAGCTTTTCCTTCTCCTGCGGGACGTTCAGTATTTATCTCAACTCCAGATGTTGACATCTAATGTGTGACGCTTTAATTCTTTAGACATGACTTCCTGTTCAAGTCACATGTGAGTGGGCTCCTTTAAAGGCTTTATATGTGATTTTTTTGTTCCAGCAGATGTCGCCCTTGAGCACCAGCATGAAACCAAAACAACTTGCGCTGCATTGTTGTGTTAGCATGCTAATGCTAGCAATCTTTATTATGTTTGTATCTTCACACTGCATGTAAATTTACCCGAAATGACTGTGATCTACAAACGCAGTTAAGCAGTGAGTACAGTATGTTATTCTTCTTTTCTCTAGTCCCTCAATTAAACAACTTTTATACATGAGGGGAGGAGTCGGCCGGCCGCCCGGCGATGTAAACAAAGTGAAGATATGACTCGGAAAACTCAGAAAACATCACAGACAGTGGGACTCAGGTGTTACACCCATTGTAGACAGCCATGATTCACAGAGTTATTTTCAGAGGATATACTTGATTTCTATTACATTTAAGTGTGAAAATCGCATATAAAGCCTTTAAAGAGATTTTTAATGAGCCCAGCAGGATCTCAGTCGTACTGAAGTCAGAGATTTTCACATCAGCCCCCCTAAAAAAAAACTCCTGAAAAACATCTTTCCCGAGTTGTTTCTCCAGTCTGACAGGGGGAGGGGGAAAGACATGACATGAAAGAGGACGCTCTGTTGGTCGTGACTATCGCGAGAAAGTCCATCAAATTTTTTTTGCCTTAATATTAATATTTTTTTTGTGCCTTTATTGGAGAGATAGGACAGTGAATAGAGTCTGAAATCAACAGTGAGGAGGTTCCTGGATTGAATCAACGTCTGACAGGAGACACAGCTCATTAGGTTAACTGGTGACTCTAAATTGCTTGTAGGTGTGAATGTGAGTGTGGCTGGTTGTCTGTCTCTATATGTCAGCCCTGTGATTGGCTAGTGACCAGTCCAGGCTGTAACGACAGCTCCAGCCCCCCGCGACCCTGAACAGTAAAAGCAGTATAGATAATAGATGGATGGATGCCGTAAAGAAGATGGATCAAGTGTTCTCATGGACTCTTTATGAGTTTTCATGTAATTGTTTTGTGGAGTACTGAACTAGTTTGTCTTTCTGGAGCAGAATCATAAATACCAGAGACACTTATCGCTTCAGTATATGAGCGAGTTACCATCAGTAAACGGCAGCAGTAGCAGTGAAGCCGTCTGATAAGACTCAAATAGTCGTAAAGATAGCATGCTCATTAAAGCTGGCTCCCAAGGAAATGTGGATGTGATGGTTGGTGTACCATAGTTTTTTTCACAGCTCACCCTCCCTGGAAATCCTTTTCTGTGTTTGGTAATGTTCACGTTTCTTCTTCTCTCTCTCTCTCTCTCTCTCTCTCTAGGCCATTTCCCCAACAAGGCCATGCCGTCAGCGGGAACCCTCCCCTGGGTTCAAGGCATCATCTGCAACGCCAACAACCCCTGCTTCCGTAACCCCACGCCCGGCGAGACTCCCGGGGTGGTGGGAAACTTTAATGATTCTATGTGAGTATCCTGGCCCCCTCCTGAATACTCAAACGTGTGCAAAAAAACCTAACCATGAATCCTTAAAAAAAAAAAAATACACGAGATCTTCTCAGACAAGCGGATGTGAACCAGTGCGTCTTATGTCGTGTTTTTCTCGTCTCTCTTGAAACATCAGAATCTCCCGACTGTTCATCGACGCCAAGAAGATCCTGCTGTTCTCTCAGAACGATAAGAGCTATGAGGGCTACAAAGGACTGCTGAGGGCTCTGAGGAAGCTGCAGAAGAACACAGCTCGTAAGGACAAACCTCTTCTGCTTATGTCCTGCTGTATGATGACTTCATTTCATTTCATTTTCATTTTTTTTTATTTCTTCCGTATATGTCAAAAAACACAACAGAATAAAAAAGGATTCACAATTTATCCCATCCATGTACGGAAAGGAGCAGGGAGAAGAATACATCTTATTTTGCCTGCCCCTTATTTAAAAAAAAAACAAGAAATATTTGGATGGTCTGTCCAATCACAATCTCTTGGCAATGAATACCAGGCCAACATAAAACAAATCTGACTATTCAATCTTCACTTCCACATAAATATGAAGGAAAACACACACAAAACACACTAACTGCTTATTTCATACAGTCTGATAACATTTTCTTAAACTGAAATATCTGAACACAGCCCTTCAAATCATTCTGAAAGATCTCCCAGTCCGATCATTGTCTGATATGTTCCTCATCCGATCAGAATTAAGGAACACTCCTACACAGCTGTGCATGCAGATGATATAACTGTGTCAGTGACTCACACCTACAGTTTACTCTCACATTATCTCCTAATGATTCACAGCTCACTGCATGTTTATGTTCATGACAACAAACTCCCAATCATGTTATTACGTAGGTGAGAGTCTCTCCTGCGTATCGGTTGTTCAGCTGCCTAAAAAAGGTTTCCTCACAATCAGAATCAAAATCAGAATCGGGGTTTATTGCCAAGTACATTTACACATACAAGGAATTTGACTTGGTGTATTGGTGCTAAACAATTAACAAGGAAATAACGCAGAACTAGCAACAACTTAAATAATACAGTATAAGAAGCTATTACAATATATAAAATATAATTAAAAAATGTAAAATATAAAAACTTAAAATAAAAAACACAAAATGTACAAAAGGTGCAATGTAGGAGCTGTGCAGTGGACTGTGAGAAAAAAAAAATCTCTAACCCACAAGATGGACGTTCTCTTTTATGTTGCGATATTCCCAGACGTTTCTCTCTTGAAATGGAGAATGCTTATTGCAAGACCGAGCCTAACTTCTAAAGAGTTTGGCGGGGTGAAACATGTGAATACAAACAGAATTTGATGATATGCAAAACACTGAAACCAGATATTACCATCAGACTGTGCTGCCCTCACAACCACCGCCGTCCTCCTAATGCACGGCCTGCTCTGACCGCCACCTCAGCGGGGAGGAAGTGTGAACAACAGGAACGCGAGAAATACAAAGGAAAAATCCTTCCTGCATATTATCCTATATTCTCTTTTTGTAAAGCGTCTCGAGATAACACTTGCTATGAATTGGCGCTACACTAATAATGATGGATTGATATTGAATTAAAAACGGCACATAGACGAATGATGAAACTGACAAAAACGTCATGTCAACGCATTTTGAGTTTTCTTTACCTCACGTCTTACCTCAGGAGTCCCCCCCCCCCCAGCCAGGTCAGGAGAATCTCCGGGCTTCACAGTGTTTTTCTCAAATCTTCACATTCTGTCTTTATATACAATTTACACAACGTCACAACTTTTAGGAAATGGTCTTGTGGTTGTAATCTCTTGAATCATTAGCGATCAATGAGTTCAGAAGAAGAAACTGATTAGTGTCTTGTTGAAAAGTTCAAAGTGGCTTGTAAAGGTCAGCTTAGCTGTGAAGAAAGAGAAGCTGGCGTTGGCTTTAGCAGCTGTTATCTCTGCCCACCAGCTGTGGTGGGACTCCAGCTCCCAGCAGCCAGTGGGTGTTGTACTTTCCTGTGACTGTGTGCCAGTGCTGGTGCTACAGAACAAAACTAAATGATGCACCAACCCCGGCACAGTCGTCATACAATCGCTACACAGATCTGCTAGAAGACGCGGCGTCCTTCTCACAGGAATGCGGCCGCTTCCTGTCTGTGAGGAACTCTCTCTCTCTCTCTCTGCGCAACATGTTCAGTGGTTATCTTACATGTCAACACTGGGATTTGTTTATTTAACATTTGGAAATGGAAAGAGGGAGAGGGAGAGTTTCACCATCCTGACATCGGCTGTTTTGGAACAGGGAAAGGTCATCTTTCAGAATAACATCTTTGTCGACTGACTCGATCACAACGACCTGAAAAAAAAGAAAGCTGCGTTACGATCTTTACTGTGATTAAAGAGGACATATTCTCCCCCTTTTCAAACATTTCAAACAGTCCCCTGTGGTCTAAATGAAACATCTGTGCTGTGCTTTGGTCAAAATATAACATGAATCAAGCACCAGAGGAGGTTTGTGACCCTGTATAAACCAGCTCTCTTAGAACGCTCTGTTTTGGTGTGTGTGTTTTTTAAATGCTAAGAGCCCCCCCTGAGTTTTCCCCGTAGACATCAATTTTCTGTAGCGATAATAGAAATGGAGGATCTGCTCAAAAGTTTTGTTCTACGCTGGGGGTGGAGTCCATGGGTGGAGATACCAGGGGAGGGGAGGGGATTTTTTTTACCAGAATCCCACTGTGACATCACAAGGAAAGAAAATTTGAAACGAAGCATTTTTTTCTGTGTTGTAAGACTTATGCAGACCACAAACAAAGGACTGGATGTGTTTATTTCACATTTTCTGGGTCAGTAGACACTCAGGTTACCCAAATATATGTTCAACAACACTGTAGAAGTGGATTTTAACTTAAAGAGGAGCGGGGGAACAGTAAACACATGTGAGGAAACTGTTGACCTCATTTATGTGCTGTAAGAAATAACAGCCTTGTAATTACGACGGGTGTCATCGTGTTTGTCCCTTCTTCTCTCTCAAACACACTAATGATCCGGCCTCCTCGCTGCTTCCATCACCTCACTGGGTCTCAGCTAAAGTTCACACATGCAGGGCTGAACGTAAGAACAAATGAAGTCTATCCTGAGGAATTATGCAACCACACAGAACAATCAAAGTTGTTGTTTATGTCGCTATGCCTTCTGCTCCGTTAGCCCAGAGGTACAGAACGTTATGCAACGGACCCACAAGGCGTAGCTCAACCTCTGAGACGAGAGAGAGAGATATTACACGTCGCGAGAGGAAAAGAAGCGATACTCACTTCAACTGTAAAAAGTTTGAAAGTGTGGTATGTGAGGCTCTCCACATCGACGACCTCATGATTCAACGGCGCCTGAAGTCTGCAGCGTTTTTTTTTTTTTTTTAACGAGGCTTTAGTGCATCCGTTGACTTCATCACAATTGATTTTTTTAAATGCATGATGGTGCCTGATCCCATGCTCCGGTCTATATATGTGCTTTAGGTCCACGTGAGGGGATGTGGGGTGAGGGGTGAGGGGTGGGGAACGGGCATGATGGATGCAGCAGGAAGCAAACAGAGAGCTGCTGATGCTTTAGGAATAACAGATCAGAGCGCTGAGGGTGGAGCCCCTCATGTGTCTGACGGGGTCGGAGTATGATATTTACACTGACAGGGTGGGGGGGGGGGGGGGGGAGATGATCCTTTCCCCCATAGGAGGACTGGATAAAACACAACGTGTAGTCAGATCTGATTGTTCTTGCTTCATGAGTTAGCGCAAGATGAGGCGACAGATTGGTGAAGCGCTGAGTCATACAACACTACGAGAGATAAATGGTCTGCTCCTCAAGTGTGTGTGTGTGTGTGTGTGTGTGTCCCCCGTCTGTCTGCACACAGACAGTGAGGCTGAAAGTCACGATAGAGGAGAACATATAAAGCCGTTTCCCCCTCCTTGATCTGAATGGCTCCATTTGATACAGAGGCTTGTGTCCGGGTCTGATGTCTTTAAAATGGAGACCCTGAATATTTATGGCTTCCTCTTCTTTTACTTTGAAGGGCTGTGAAAATGTCTGCCTTAACCGCTGCTCTTAACCTCATGTCTCTAACCAGAGTGCTGAAACCAGCTCCTACTCTTAAAATAACTTCTATGAGAGGTGAGAAAGACCCCCACAGAGGTGAAGGTCCTAATTTAGGATGTCCAACACTTTATTAGGTTTGCAAAAAGAATCTGTGCAGAATATAGAAATGTCACTAACACACAAGAAGGCTCAGATTCAGTCACTCTTTTTTATGCTCTCTATATGCAAACATCTACTTCACTGTCTTCCTTTACTCGGCCATTTTGGGTTTTGAATTCCAGCTTTAAGATATTTTTTGCAGCTGCCTTCGGGGTCTTGTCTTTGATTTGTCTGTGCACATTTATTCAAATTAAAACACCGGCTAACACGGATAAACAAGGCGGCACAAGCACTCTCTGATGTTGTTTATGTTGACCAGACTGCAGAGATGTTCCTTTTGTACCTGTTAGTTCAGTGGTTTTAGATTGTGTTATTTAACAGAGATGATAGCCTGTTTATGGACCAGTTTGACCAGTGGAGACACCAGCGGCCATCTTGTTTTCTGGATTGTCTCATCTAAAAGAGGATGGGCAGCAGCAGCAGCATGCAGGGACATGTGGGTGTTGATGCAGGGCTCGCCCTCGTTTCTTAGCTGCTTTAAAGACAGAAAAACAAACACAAACACAGTGCTCTTCTTCTTTTCAAAGTCTCTCTCTCTCCCTCTCTCTCTCTCTCCCTCTCTCTCTGTCCTGATAATCATGAAGTAAAAACAAACACAGATAATATGCAACACTGAAATGAAGGACCAACAAACAGGAATTACAGCGAGACCTTCAATTTAATAAAAGCTGCTCAATCCGCTCCGGTCTGCCCGTCCTCAAGGGATGCAATGCACCATGGGAGCTGTGACTTCCAACTGGGACACTGATTAGACCTTATTAGCGCTCCCTGGTCGTTCGCCCCTGAGCGTTTAGGTCACACACGGAGCTCAGGTGCACACACACACACACACACACACACACACACACACACACACACACACACACACACACACAGAGGCCCATGGAGAGCAGCGAGAGTGAGGATGTGTTTTATAAAACACACACTCACAACAAACACACACCTCAAACTTAAATAGCACACACACACTCTTTTGCTCAGCTGGTGAGGGAGAGAAACACCACCCCCCCCCCCCCCCCCCCCCGACACACAGAAACACACTGTTCTCTTTCACTTCCTCCCGAGGGATGTTCGCTTCAGTTCGGTCGAGGCAAAGTGTTTCCTGTTTGTGTGTGTGTGTGTGTGTGTGTGTGTGACAAGGTTTTTCAAAATAAGTAAATCAGGAAAATTATGGGTGGGGGGGGTTAAAATTTGAATGTTTGCTTTCACACAAGAATCTCATCCTGTAAATGTCAGGACATTTTGGCCATGTGTGAAAACACCAAAAGAGACAACAGAAAGTAATTTTTTCGATTTTATAAATGTCATCACTGTCAAGTTTTGGGGGTCATTTTCAGGAGTTTTGTGCATGTGTGAAAACACCGTGTAATACCTGCAGGACTGAACCAGTTCAGACGTCTAAACCAGGGCAGTGGGGCAAGTAATCATTTAAGTCTCGCTAATTCAAAAGGATGCCGTTACACAACAGATTGAGACTGTATTTTATTCTGTAGTTACAGCGAGTTCTTGTGAAAATGGTGAGTGGAGGGAGAGAGAGTTGGCAAAAGGGGCGCTGGGTTCAGAAAAGTAGGTGAAAGGTGAAGAAATGTAGGAAGGAAATGAGCGAGAGAGAGAGAGAGAGAGAGAGAGAGAGAGAGACAGGTTGGCAAATTCTGGACCAAAGTGGAACGACCTGTAGTAACCCCGGCTGCGTATGAAACTGAGGAGGAGAGAGAAGTGTGTGTGTGCGTGTGTGTGTGTGTGTGTGTGTGTGTGTGTGTGTGTGCGCAACCACACAGCTGACTCAGGCCAGATTCAGAAATGGTTTGACTTCTTTGGAACGCAGCAGAAGTACAAAAAGTTCTCAGAGCACTGCGAGGACAATGCGTGTGTCTGTGTCAGTGTGGTTCTGATAAATACAAAAAATCTGTTATGATTAAATCCAGCGATGTGTTGCATGATCTCAGTTTGATCCCCATAATAATAACTTTATGAACATATTGTGGTAATGTTGTTAAAGATCTGTAAGAGGTTAACTCAGGGCAGGGTGGAGGATTTGATTTCTTTTCTCGTCAGCATATTGAGGATCTTTATGGACAGTCTCTTTGGGTGCATCCCATAACTGATTTAACATCATCGTAGGATAAGAAGGTCGTTTGAAGGTCAATGTTTATCACACTGTGAAGACTGCGAGATGTCCTGCTATAAAGACCAAAATAAGGATATTTCATTTCAAAGGAGGTTTAGTGTCTCATTCTTTCTTCTTCTTCTTCTAGGTTTCAAGCTGAAGGACTTTCTGCGGGACAATGAGACCCTTTCCCACTTCCTGCACCACAACGCCTCTCTCCCTCATCACGCGCTGAAGCAGATCGTGGAGGCCGACGTCAATCTGGAGAAGGTAAAATCAGAATCATCATCTCTCGTCCCCCGCCGACATTTCCAACACAAAAACACTGATTGTTGCATAAAACCCCGGACTCTAACAGAATGAGCGATATTGTGCACAGTGTTTTTCTGAACTCCCTTTCATATATGAGATAATCACACTCACATGACCACATGCATTAATGTGATGACCTTGGCTTGACAGTATCTGTCGGGCTGCAGCTAAGCCCTTAATAGAGGGGGGGGGGGGGGGACTGTAGAAGCTTGTAGGCATCAAACCCCCTCCTTTCTGTCTGTGCGATAAAAATGTTTCTTATCTGGTGTTATATCTGTCAGATTCTCTCCTCCAAAGATTAATTTCTGCCCAGCTGGCATTATGATGTATTTTATAGCACACACGCGCATGCACGCACGCACACACACACACACACTCACTCACACACACACCCAAACAAACACTCTACCCAATATCACACACGCATACATTTACTGTTTCAGCTGCCCACCCAAACAACATCTCCCAGCCCAGCCCACCTCATTATCCCTGCTTTCTGATTGGGCGGCTGGCATCACATAGCTGCGCCTCTTACCCCCCCCCCCCTTTCCCCTCACGTGGAGAGACAGGGGCTCAAAGACATTCACGTTGTTTCTCCCAGACGTGTATTGATCGGAGACGAGGACTCTGTGTGTGTGTTTGGAGCATTATTTAAGAACAGGAGCTCATTACGTCTGCGGCCTGCGTTGTATTTGATGACATCATTCTGTCATCAGTGTTCTGAATGATAACCATAAAAATCTCTCACCAAAAAGTCATGTTGTCACTTCTCTGAGATGATTTATATGCACTGAACTAACTGCTGTAAGCTCTGATGTTTTTCCAATGAAAAGATTAATGTGTGTGTGTGTGTGTGTGGGAACCATTTTTGAAGTGATAAAGATGATTTTATCTCGAAAAATGGTAAAGCAACATCGCTTTTTTTTTTTTTTTGGGCCTTTATCGGAAGGGAGGAAATGTCTGGAGGAGAGATGAGACAACTTGGCTCAGACTATTCTCATTTCATCACAGCTACTGAACCATTGGCAGTACATACCAAACTGGGATGGGCTCTCCAAGGGCTAGCCAGCTTACTCCAAACCCAAAACTACTTCACGCTCACCTGTGAGGGAAATGTGTAAAAAAAAGCATATCAGGAATATTTCAGGTGCAGACTATCCTGAGGAGTTCATGTGTAAAAGGAATTTTAAAAACAGCCTTAAAGTTGAGTAGGTTTACATTCCTGTTGAGTAGCTTTGCTGCTCCTGTCCTTGGCGAGCACGAGAGTCGACATTCAGCACATTGTTTCCGTTCAGCCATCTTTCAGTGTTGTTTGAGACGGATTCACAGCGTTCTTACGAGAGTCAGAAACAAGCAGCACGAGAACTCGGGGATCGAGCATGAACACTGATTAGTCACCATGTTGAAGGAAAGTATTAGTGCCGGCAAAGTGATGCAAGCACTTCAAAGGGGAAGTAGAAAATATTGACTCAATCCTCCCCTAATATTTATTGGCATTAGTAAATGTGAGCATGCATTGTGACTGTTGTGTTGTCATATTTAAGGTTCGACCCATTCAACGTTTCTTCTCATTCTCCGTCCTTTCCTTACATGTAGCACACTCGTGTTTCCATATTTCTTTCCTCTCTCTTAACCTGCTGCTTTTTTTTTATCTCCGCCCAGGTCCTGACCAAAGGTTTCGGCTTCCACCTCAGAGACCTCTGCAACGCCACCCCGCTGGAGGAGTTTGTCCACATCGCCGACAGCAACGTGACCCGCCTGACTCAAGAAATCATCTGCAAATCCTCCAGCGATTGGCTGAACAAGGCACAGAGCCACTTCCTGTCCAACTTAGACTTTCTCAAACCCATTCGGGTGAGTTGATTTGTTTAGACAAAACGTTTATCCACCTCTCACGGTTCAGTTGCTCATGCACAAGCACAAGCACGGTTACACAACATGGACATGAAGTGTAATTGATCCCAGCCTCCATTACCAAGAAGTCCTGTTCTGGCCGTATCTGACTTACATGACTCAAAAAAAGCCACAAAGTCAGTAAAGTAGCCGTCATGTTCTTGATGTGCGGACGCAGACTTGACCACGCGTCCTTTTTTAAAATCTTTCTATGTTTTTTTGAGTCCGCTTGTCTTGTAAACTGAGCACGCTTCATGATCACATAAAGCTATGCATGTGTTGTACTACGACGTTATGTAGAAGAGGTAACCGTGCTCAGGCCCTGTTAGTCCTGGAGCAGTGTGACTGCAGACCAGCGGGGGAATGGGGAGGGGCGGGACAATCAAGCTTCAGCACCGTACGGGACAACTGACCCTGATGTGAGTGCGCCCTTTCACACAGATAAAGAAGTAAAGAGTACAAACACACATCCACATAGAGAACAGCCACCGCTACTCTTCAGCCACTTATCCTAATTGCCTTTTAAAGTCATTCTACTGTGACTGCTGATTGGGAGGTGGAGACTGTGACGCTAATTATAGATGACAGGAGGAATAACTATTTGTGTAGGTCTGCTCTGAAATCCCAGACCTCAGCTACAAAATAAATCCCTGCTCTTCTTTTCTGCTTACTCTGAAACTTTCTCTTGTTTTCTTTGCCTGTTTTTCCTCCTCTCCCTCCCCTCCCTCCTCCTCCTCCTCCTCTCGCCTCCCCTCCCTGCCGAGCGTCATTTCTCCTCTGCTTGTATCTTCCCGTACAGCATGCCCCCTTCCCATAAAAACCCGTGACCTAAATGTGAGTCATGTTGGTGAAGGATAGCGAGAGGTGAAACAAACACGCTGTGCCGTGCAGTAGAGCTGATCTTAAACAGACAAAAGGAAGTGCTTTTAAAAAGATTAAAAGTGCTTGTCTCTTGATAAAAGTATTTTTCTGTGCACTTGGGCTGTCACACACATTACCAGATTTTAAACGTGAATACGATTCTAGTAAAAATCACACAAGATCTGTGCTCGTTTCAATTCGACAGCAACAAAAACAGAAGTCCTTAACACTAAATATTTGTTATTGTCTTGTTTTTAATAACCAGAACATGTAGGCATTTTCCTTCACAAAACCATTGCCTACTTGTTTGTGCAACTTAGGCAGTGCTCTCTCTTTTATTTGCAGCAGTTTCGGTTAAAAGTAAGACCGAAGATGAGTAGTATTTTAAAGCTTTGGTACTTCTCGATTCTGGTAATCAAAAGTACCAAAGTACAGAACATTTTGACAAACATGCCGTGCACCTGATTCACACAAAAATACACTTTTTAGCTTCTTTTTTCTCCAAAACTGTGATACAAGAATGGAAATTCCTCTCAAATGCAACAACATTTTGCAAAAACGAAAAGGTTCAGGAACTTTGATTGCACCCTCTGTGTGTGGGTGTTTGTGTGTGAGAGGCTCAAAAGTCGTTAAATCAGGAGGAAAAAAAAACAAGTCCGAGCGGAGAACCAGAAAGCTCCGGGGTCAGTCCCCCTTTTCTTAGAAGGCTGCTCTGTCTTTAGCGGCACATGCTTCACCCAGAGGGGTAGACGACCCAGCAGCTGACAGCACAGTGTGATGGATGGGAACACTCACACACACACACACTTACACACACACACACTTACACACGGCAGTTTGAGCGACAGGAACACAGGTCAAAGTGAGGCTGACCTGTTGTTTTTTCTCGGCCCCCCTCGTTCCTCACCTTTGACTCCGATGTTTTTCTTATGCTTCCTCTCACACCTCTCCTTCGCTGAAGCTTTTGTTCCCCTTCCCCTTCCCCTCTCACCTCTCTGAGGAGTCTGTTTTGCTTTTCATGGTCCTCTATCAATACAAACGAGAGCAGAGAAATACTTAGAAGCTCGGTTGATGTTTTCAACAAAGTAGAAGAAGAAGAAGGCTGCACAGTTAAGAAGGGCAAATATTTAGGTGCAGGTAGCCTATGGGTCAGTGCGCACGCCCCATGAACGGAGGCTGTAGTCCTCCAATTGGGCAGAATGGGTTTGAATCCGACCTGTGGCTTCTTTCCGGTTCCACACTCTCTCCCCATCCTCCGGTTTCTGACTCTATCCACTGTCCTATCTCCAAAATAAAAATAAATCTAAAAAAGAAGGACAGCAATGGAGGACATCCTGCAGAGGTCTGCACCTCTGAGGTCGTCCATGGGGCGGAGCATGCTTGTGACACAAGTCACAAAAACAAACTTGAAATCACTCTCGAAATCTACAGGATATTTAAGCAAGTGGCGTTTCATGTTTGTCCTTTATTACCGCTGTTGCATGGGAAGATTCTTCAAACGAATCAACGGACTGCAGAGTGTCTCGCTTCACCCTTTAGGGTCAGATCTGTACGCTTGGCACCCGACAGAAGGGTAGCAAAAGGAGTAGGGCAGCACGGTTCGCTTATGTTGGTACCATTCATGACTTATGACGGTGGAAACGGCAATATACCAGACCGCTTGGTGGAAACGCTTATCTCTGTTTTTGGTTAAATAAATTGCATCGTGTTCCGACAGTTGGTGGGAAAAAGATCTTTTCTCTTCTGCAGGTCCAGTTAGTTTGGATTGGCACGTCTTATTTATTGTTACACAAAGATCAGGAATCGTCTGCGCAGAGTCTCAGCATCATCTAAATATTCCTTTCTCTCTTTCTCTCCAACAGAAGGATGTCAGGGCCGACCCCAAAGTCGTCCAGGAAGTCTCAGCTGCCACCGACAACCTTCTGCAGAACCTGGGAGGGCTCGCTGTGGAGGTCAGTACACCCCCCCTCCCCCCCAAACACACACACACACACACACACACACACACACAGATAGCCACCCACGCGAGTTACAAATACTGAAGTATTTGTTTCCAAAGTTCAGTCTTCACTCGTAATGTTTGTGGATGATATCGATTCTTACTTAGAATTGAACCCACGGGACTTTTATGATATGAACATGTTTACACATATCATTATCAAGAAGGTTGAAAAGTTGCAAGAGGAAAACAGGTGATCTGGATGTACACAGCAGTAAGGTCACTGAAGAGGGAAAGTCGGGAACCCTAGAGAGTCCAAACAAACACGCTGCTTCGTTTAGCCGGACAGATTTTGGAGAGCTTGTTAGCCTGGATGTGTGATCAGATTGAGACTGTCAGACGCTGGTCATGTGTTGAAACGGATCGTTTTTCATGCTCGTTAAGGATTTCCATCTTTTTATTGTCCACCACAGTGGGCTTTCATTTCCACATTTTTTTTAAAGCTAATTCCACTTCAGATTAATCGTAACAGTCTGGGTCATGACAGCTCCGCAAAAAAAAGAATATATATATTCTTCAGCTTCTGTGTTTGAGCAAACCGGCTGTGTGCGATGTTCCCGTGGATGACGGCACAACAAGCCTCACTGAGCTGAGCTGACGACCAGGTGCACTGTCCTCGCCGTCAGGATCACGTGCACACACATTTACGCTCACGGGCGCTCACACACCTGGAATAAGCTAACGTAGTGCAGTCCGATCTGCTCCGATGAAAGCAGAGAAGCAGCAGAAAACAAAAACAGCACAACCCCCATCTCTCTCTCTCTCTCTCTCTCTCAGGCTCCTGCCCTGCTGAGTTTGCAAAACATTAAAAACCCAGCTGTGTGTGTGTGTGTGTGTGTGTGTGTGTGTGTGTGTTGAAGCAGCTGTAACAGGCTTTTCTTTTCTTCTATCCGTAACCAGTAATTTGTCAACCTTTCCTAATTCTTTAAATCCCTTTTCATTGCCCGCTGTGTGAGAACTCGACTATTACCGAACAAAATAAAATACATTAACGTATTACATTAACTTAAGACAATAGTAGGACGCTGTTAATTAAAATCCATCTTTCACAGCTTCCTCCCGGGTTTCACCAACGTATGTTTGTTCATTTTTTAAACTTTTAAACTCTTGAGGAGGCAATATCAAACCGATCAGGACACTGAGGTAAAGTGTGGGGTGCGGGGATATAAATCTGCTGAGTCCTGAATCCCTGAGTCTCATATTGTTTTTGGTGTTTTGAACTTTGTAGCGTAGCAACGCTGTACGTGCTGCATGATGTGAGTCGTCAATCGGTCTCTGGTTTTGTCTTGTACGTTTCCTGCTCGTCTTTAGTCTTCACTCTCGATTTGAAAAAAAAAACCCCTGCTTTCTCAACCTTCACCTGTTCTGTCATGTGTACGTCGTTCTTCTTCAGCTACTGAAGTCGAACAAGAGAAGTCATAAGCAGATGGTGCCCTCTGCTGGTTAAAAAAAACAGTATTACAATATATAGATATGTTTTCTAATTGATTTAAATTGTCCATATTTGTATCGATTACTAATTGATTGGACTGCTGAAGAGAGACAGGAAACGTTGGGAGCACGTGTGGTATATTCCCTAACAGAGCTTCTAATTCAGTCTCTGTTTATTCTGATGCCCGCTGGAATCCCTTCACTTCAGCGGGCATTGCTCAGTTAGAAGCAGATTATTCGGGTTTGAAGCTGGCAAAGTTGAAGAATGCACTCATGTAACCTCCACTCCCTGACCAGTAATCATCTGCAGCCTGTATTTCAATCCGCGGCTTATCACTGCTGGAGGACGAAAGAGAACCGCAGCGATAATGTGTCTGACTTCTGCGCAAACGTGTGTCCCAAAATAGGAATGTCACAAACATGTTTAGTCGTCACAAAACTTCAAATCTTCAACATCAGAAGGATGGATGTTGTGGAAACGATCGTTTCTCAATCGAAGCTCGTCGATAGCGTTCAACAGCCGGCTGTGCTCTTCATTAAATGTAGATGTTAAATGTTGAATCATGACGAGCTGCACTCTTCCCTCTGAGATCAGGAGGCCGGCCGTATGGGGAAAACTCAAACTACAGCCATCATTATGATAAAAAAAACAAGGCCAGTGAGTTTCAGTTTAAGTCTTGGCTAATCGACACACTGCTCGGAAACATTAGTGCCATTTGTCTCCTTTGTATTGTTCCCAGTAAGAAGCTTAAGTGGTTGCTTAGCAGAGCGATTGGGAGTGTGTTATTAAACTCTAGTAACCTCTCTGCTCCGGTACACAGTCACTGTCGTCTTTATGCCTGTTCACACGAGCACCAAACTCCTGAAAACATCTGGATATTTTCAGGGCGTGTGAACGGATGGATTCTCACTCCTGCCTAACCTGGAATCTTTCCTGTATGTTCTTCTCCGCTCTCTTATTGACGCCCTGAATATGGCGAGTTAGAGGCAGCAATGCCATCATAGCTTCAGACTCTGTTGCTTCATCTTTCATTTCCACATAGTTCTGTTTATAGATAACATCCTGTCTGAGTCTCCGGCTGTGAAGTGCATGTGGGAAAGATCAACTCAAGAAGATTGCAGGGGCCGTCGGTCCTGAAATGTCCTGGAAATATTCAGGAGTTATTCTGCAGTTTATACGATGTGCCACAGAGCCCCTCTGTTTTTAATTTATACTTGAATTAGTTTTATGCATGTCTACTCAAAGATGCCTGTCACTGTCTTCTTCCCTTCTTCCTAGTGAGCTGTGTTTCATCATCATCATTTTCAGTGGGTTGCTATGGTTGCAGGATTCAACTGTAACAACCTCAGGAGGACAAACTTGTTCCTCTAAAGTCTTTAAAGATTCAGCCTACGAGCTGGTTCTGATGAAGATAAATTGTATAATTTTGATGTTAACAATTCATCTTTGATTTGCCAATGAGCTGCTCCGCTGCTCCGCTGCTCCGGTCTACATAGCTGTGAGCTGAAGTGAAAATGTGAACTTTAGTAACCTCACACAGGCTGCGCTGCGAGGTTACTGTGGGACAATCCTGCTCTGCTGCCGGCCCGTCTGTCTGTCTGTGAATGTGTGTGGGTGTGTGTGTGTGTGTGCGTGTGTGTGGTGTGTGTGTGTGTGTGTGTGTGTGTGTGTGTGTCTGTCTCATCTTGTCACCCAAATTAACACAGGCATCATTCCCGCAGGGAAATGACACACCAACTCGGTCACACAAAAGCGTTTTCAGCACAGGCTTATGATTACCAACCTGGGCAGACTAACACACACTCTTAGCAGGAAGACACATTTTCGTGTGTGTGTGTGTGTGTGTGTGTGTGTGTGTGTGTGTGTGTGTGTGTGTGTGTGTGTGTGTGTGTGTGTGTGTGTGTGTGTGTGTGTGTGTGTGTGTGTGTGTGTGTGTGTGTGTGAACATCCGACATGAGAACAGCAGGAAATCATTGAGGGGTTTGAGGTTTCTGTTTTTGCAGCTTCTGTAGCCCCAGGCATCAACACACAAATGCACATCTTTAAAGGCACACACACACACTTCCTGAGAACCTTTTGATGCAAAAAAAAAAAAAAAACCCTACCCAGGAGAACGCAGACATGCAAGCTGCAGTCTGACACAGACACACATTTGTGCAGCCAGCTTTGTGCATGAAAGCGAGCGACAGGTTTTTCTCAGCTGCAGCTGTCTCAGCTGATCTGTGATCTGAGACGCAACAGTTCCCTCAGTCTCACTTTCTCTTTGTTGGAAAACAGTGTTGAATGTCCTGCTGACGGAAAGAGAAACACACACGCACACACACGCACACACACACACACACACACACACACACACACACACACACACACACTGCAGACAGCTGACTTGAAACAACACAGAGCAGTTTTATTTGTTCTGAAACAGCCGAGCATGCCATGTCAGGATCTTCTGCCTGTTTGTTCCCTCGTCCCGCCCGTGTTTGTGTGTGTGTGTGTGTGTTGTGTGTGCATGTGTGTCAGTGAGGATAATAGCGCTCCGCTTGTTCAGCCTGCGGAGGTTTGCCTGTTAGGAGATGACCGATAGTAACCTCTCTTTGTTCTTGCACCTTTCACTGCGCTTATTGCTAACTCCTGCTCCTCTGCTTCCTCATCTCTCTTTCCTTTGTTCTCTCTTTCTTTCGCTTAAGATTTTCATTCCTTCCTTCACCGTCCTTCAGTTTCTGTAAACTACATTCGACCTCGTCACATTTTACGCTCATAAAAAGTGTGTGCACAGTTATATACAGAAAGAATTATTGCAGATGATGGTGCAGTGAAACACAGATGCTTAGACCAGTGTTTGCACATCGACGTATCTCACCAAGCACAGACACACAGACACACACACAAACACATGCACAGCTTGAGCTTAACCTATGCCAGAAGAACCTCCTGTGGTTCGTTCTTGGGAAACAAAAGTGTCCCTCTTCTTCTTCTTCTTCTCTGTGTAACTTGCAACAGGGGGAAAAAAAACACAACACCCCTCCTGTCGTTTGCTTCTCCTGTCATGAGTCGATGACATAATTGAATGTGCAGTTGACCAGCTCTGAGACTCGAACAGGGAACTTGTGGCGACTTGTCTCTTGACCTGAAGTTACCTCTGCATGAACCAGAATGAACTCCCGGGCTGCCTTCAGCCTGATGTAACAACTCGACATGATCTTTCTCTGGGTGAAAAGAAACAAACATCAGGACTTTTTAGGCTCCACTGGAACGATATAAAGAATGAATGTTTGTTGTTTTTTAAGCTGATCACATCTCATAATACCAAAAACACTTCAAAGGGAGGTTAAATGTTTTAGTTTAATTTCTCGCTGGCTCACATTTGAGGATTTAACTTTTTATTTTTGACGTTGCCAACAGCGCTGGACTATGATTAGACTTTTAATAGCAGCTGAGTCTCAACCTGTGATGACAGGGCGACGGGACAGCGCCGCCCCCTGAGCCTCACACAGCTCCGACGAAGATAGCGTTGGGAACAGCAGTTAAATTTATCTCTGTCAGGCAGACAGCTAAGTGCTGCGTGTCTCCACCCAAATGTGCCACACTTAACTTCCCCATATAAAAACCACTCAGAGTGCAGATGATAACCTTTAATGACCCCCGACCTACAACCACCACAGACGTGCACATATACGGTCTTGATTAAAGTTGAGTTTGTTGTGAAAGATGATACATGTCTGTGCCGTCTGTTCAGGCTTTCTGGGACAGAGAGAGAGGGATCGATGTGATGCACGGACATGAAGACAGATATGACGGTTTAATTCTTGTTGAAAAGAAATATAGTGTTAAAAACCTTAAAGCTTAATGGTAAATGTAGACCCTGCAGAAGAAAGTGTGCAGGGTCTCTGTGGGTCTGCAGGGTCTCTACCTCTGTCGAGGTGTCAATACCAGAATTTGGCAACGTTTTGGTACCGAAATGTTGCCAGTGAATTTGTGCAATTTAGACGCTCTCTCCTCCTCTGCTCTCTGTCTGTCTATGAGAAACATCAACATAACGTTTGCACCTTCAGAAATGTCAGTATTGGAGTATTTGCCCACCTGCTCGCTCTTTCTCTGCAACTGAAGATCTGCAGTTTCTTTAAAGCTTTGGTACTTTTTGATACTACTAATCGGTTTTAAAAGACGTGGTATTTAAGGTATTGAGGGATCTCATTTTTGCCAACCATGACAACCTCTGTTGAGCTGATTTTTTTAACCCCTTTATGTCGGGTTTTGTGTGTTTTTTTGTGACGTATACACAGCTGGTTTAACATCTCTTGGTTTGTGAAGATGTGCCTTTGCATCGCCCCGTTTTTAAGACAGTTAGAAATTGTGCATGCTAACATTTGTATTTGTGTCTGCAGCTTGCCGGTATGAACAGCTGGAAGGAAATGCGTAAGGAGATCCTTTATCTGACCGCAAACGCCACCGGCTCCCCCAACCAGATGTACCAGGCCGTGTCCCGTATTGTCTGCGGGCACCCAGAGGGGGGCGGCCTCAAGATCAAGTCCCTCAACTGGTACGAGGACAACAACTACAAGGCGTTGTTCGGAAACCATGGCAACGACAGCGACAGCGATCCCGTCTCCGCTTACGACAACTCGTCCAGTAAGTTTCTCAACGCCGACAACCCTGAAGCGACCTTTACCTTTATTTACCGATGGAGCGCGGCAGATTGAGGATGTCTGTGTGTTCACTTTTGCAGCTCCGTATTGTAACAGCATGATGAGGAGCCTGGAGTCCAGCCCCATCTCCAGGATGATCTGGAGAGCTCTGAAGCCTCTGCTCATGGGGAAGATCCTGTACACCCCCGATACTCCGGCAACCCAGAGAATTATCCACGAGGTACAGATACCCCCCCCCTCGCCCCACCACCACCACCACTATCATGGCTACAGCCTTACTAAACGAGTCCATGTGTTCCTGCAGGTTAATAAGACGTTCCAGGAGCTCGGCGTGCTGAGGGATCTCGGAGGCATGTGGGAGGAGATGAGGCCCAAAGTCTGGAGCTTCATGGAGAACAGCGAGGAAATGGACCTGGTCAGGGTGAGTGGGGACGGTTTACGACACACCCGTGCGCATGTCAGAGCTTTGTTCTTGGAGCTCTTCCTGTTTACACGCCGAGGTTTAAAGGCACTTATCTGGCATCAGTGTAATTAAGTGTCCGATGTAACTGCGGAGGGAGGAAAAAAACCTCTGAGGCCACCCGCACCAAAGCAGCTCAGGACTACATGAAGCGTCCACAAATGTCACAGAATCTTATTCATCTGCTTTCTCACAGCGGGGCAGATTTACAACCATGTTTCCAAAAACATTAAGGGCCTTTATTTGTTAAGAAAAAACAACAAATCGAATGTTGAAAACTGAGACATTTGGTAGTTTCTTGAAAACTTTGTGCCAATTTTGAACACACTCCAAAAAGGAGGCCGTGCATTAAAGACGGACGTGATTCTGTGGTGGACGTCACTGCATGAGGTCAGGAACACAAACCATTATCTGTGAACACAGTGGGTTTCATTTACAGTTAACAAAGCATGCAATCTTTTTGTTCTCACGGTTTGTAATCCAGCCGTGGAGAAAGAGTACAGAGGCTAAGAAAGACATGACGGCTTTCAAGTGCAAGATAAAGAGAAGCTTTATCTTGCAAGGACAGATAAATTCACAGTGAGGTCACCAGAAAAACTTTATTGACTAAAACAAGACAACAAGCAACAGGAATTATTAGCACGATAACAAAATGTATTTCTTCTCACTCTGATCTCATCAAACAAACAAAGTGGTTTCCTTTCATACAACAGGACGTAATGTTTGGTTCAGATTTATGAGAGCACATTTAAGAAAGATCGACGTTCCCATCAAACTGCGTGTGCTTCATAACATGGCTGTCTCCATTTCATGTGGATGTTTTTTCTTTTACCACAGCTCCACATTTCTTTGCAGATTGCACAAGCACCGTCTCCACCTAGTGGTGAAAGGTGGTATTGTTAAATTTAAAAAAAAAGATTCACCAGAGTCCCTGATCTCGGGATAAATTCATTTTTAATTCACTTTAAGCGTTTCAAAAGACTGATTCTGTTTCTGTCAGAGATTTAAAACAACAACAGGGCTTATATAAAACTCAGCTCAGATCATTATTTGATAAGAGGGCTGTCTGCTCCGCCTGTCATCAGTCAGAGGAAAACAGAAAATCGAGTGACGGTAAAATAGGTCACAAGAAACTCAAAGCCAAACAGCTCAGCAGAATGAAGGTCACACTGTGATTATTTAACCATTTAACTGTTTGACACAATTATCAGTGCTGCAGGAAGAAGGTCAAAGAAGACGGTGAACTCTCAGGACAGCGACATTCTGAGCCTCGGCTTAAATATTTACGATGCATTCATTCTGAATATCTGATCCTTTGTTGCAGACTCTGCTCCAGAACAACGCCAGCGCCGCCTTCTTTAATGCGCAGCTCAGTGGGACCGAGTGGCGCGTGTCGGACGTGTCCAACTTTCTGTCCAAGTTGTCGGAGGACCAAAGACCCGCAGGATCGGCCTACACCTGGAGGGAAGTCTTCAACGAGACGGACCAGGCCATACAGACCATCTCACGCTTCATGGAGGTGAGTGTGATGAAAAAGAAGACGCACAAGCGAACACACATCTGTAGATTAAAAAAAAAAAAGGATGTGGAGTCCCATCAGTGGCGGTCTCCATGCTGGAAATGATGTCTCAGTCTAACTTTCAGTCAACCTAACGACAGGCTGAGAGCTGGAGCTGAGGTGGGTTTTAAACCTCCTGACAAACCGTTACACCGTGCCCACCTGTCAATCAGGTCAGCTACACGCCTTATTGTGAATAACTCTTATCCTTCATCAAATCAAAACTGATGAGTCATCAAAACATTCACCCCCCGTACAGTGTGTGTCGATAGAGACATGAGCTAATCAGACCTATTTGTTTTTTGAACCAGGCTGTAAACATGTTAATCTCTGCTGTAAAAACAGGCTTTTTAGAATGGGTGTGTATGTGACTTCCTGTTTTCCTGAAGCCAGCCTCTAGTGGACACTCGAGGTACTGCAGGATTTTGCAACTTCATTTTTCAACACCCAAAGGGTTGCTGCTTGGTTTGCACATGCGACTAACACCCCGAAAATGTCCCGTCCCTGATAATGTGCTGAAAAAATGTTCCTCAAAAAGTTGATGCAAGCCTGTAAAAAAAGCAGTACTTAAATTTCAAAGCCAGGCGATTGTGTTTATGAGTCATTTCACATGACATGTAGACGTTTGAAATTATTAAACTGTGCTTCGTCATGTTGTCAGGGACATTTCCCAAACACTTCAAGTCGTTATGGTCATAAGTCGAGTCTGTCAAAGTCTTGTTTGCTATTTTCCAGTGTCATCCCTTCATCTCATTCTTCACGTTAAACAAAGCTGTAAAAATAGTTTAAATGCTAATTCCCTGAAGAGGTCATCACTTATAACACCCTCGTCCATCTTCTTTGTTTCTTTAATTAACTTTGAACCACGTTTAGATCCTGGAGAGGCTATAAAAAGCTTTTACAATCAAATGTTCTTTTCCCCCTTCTTCCCCCGGTGAAATCGAGTTAATGCTCTCTCCGTCTGGGCGCTGTGGGTCAGTGTGCCAGAGCTGAGCCCCTGAGGATAAACAGCCACGGCTAAACTCCCTGCCAAGCGCTAATTGATGTCCATGCCCTGATGAATGGGAGGTCGTTGTGTAACTTATTTTTGGTCCAGGGAATTTCTTGATAAATGCGGGTAATTGTAAACACAAGATTCAAGATGTGGCACGGATATGTTACGGCGAATGAGCCGATTATGAAAGTTGATCTTGTCGCTGTAACCGATGTTTTTACCCTCCCCAGCTCGTTGTCCTCTTTGCACCGAGGAGAAAATACACGGATCAGTCATTACAAAAGGAAGATTTATAAACTTTCAAATGTCCTCAAAAGCGATCATCACATGAGCGGTAAAGATTTCTTTAATGAAACATCCCGCTGCCCCACTGACCGTGTAACATCATAAAATGTCTGATAACTGACAGTCCTCTCTGCCATAAAGCCTCGACACACCTGCAGCATTAGGAGCTCTTACGCCGTGTTTTCATTACGCTCTCACCGGCGTCTCACAAGGTGCGAGGGGGATGAGGTATAAGTCTGCTTATGTCAGCTCTGTACAGCCTGTGAGCGGCTAATCTGCAACTCTGGCCGGGTTACTCGGCGCCCGTCAACCCGAAGCACATGATTTTGTGTTAAAGGTCGCAGAGTTCATCGTTGTTGTTCAGCTTCTGAAGAACACAGAGCACGTGATTGTGTGAGCTGGATTTGTGCTGACGCTGCAAAAAAACTCAAAACCTGAGCAACAGCTCTCGTCTTTAATATCTCTGTGCACTAAACTTAAGACACATGAAGCTGCAAAATCCAGACGAACATCTTATTTTAAGATAGAAAAGGTAAAAAATTAGGCCTGGATTGCTCGCAATAAAATAAAATATTTAGTTACCTGCAGCACCCGACATGTCAGGAACTTTTCAGTAGTTTTTGTGCCGATCTGAAAGGACTACCAGACACAAAGCTGCTCTCCTCGCAAGACGAGTCGTCACAGTCACTCATAAACAAAGTGTGAACCTGAGAGTCCTTGCCTCTCGGGGGATTAACAGAGTCTATAAAATAATGTGAATTAATCGGTTAAATAACCTCGCTGTCTTCTCCCATCAGTGTGTGAACCTGGACAAGCTGGAGCCAGTCGCCAACGAGGAGCGTCTGGTCAACAAGTCCATGGGTCTACTGGACAACCAGAAGTTCTGGGCAGGGATTGTGTTTCCTGACATCGCGCACAACAACAGCACCGACTTACCTCCCAACGTCAACTACAAGATCGCATGGACATCGATAATGTGGAGAGGACAAACAAGATCAAGGATGGGTACGACTCCGCATCCAACTCTTTGACTCCATTACAGATCAAATGCAGATTTCTTTGAGCGCTCTGATTTTTTATCTTTTTTTTTCCAGGTATTGGGACCCCGGTCCCAGGGCAGACCCCTTCGAGGACCTTCGGTACATCTGGGGCGGATTTGCTTACCTGCAGGACGTCGTCGAGCACGGGATCATCAGAGCCATCACCGGCAGTAAAGAGAGGACGGGGATCTACATTCAGCAGATGCCTTACCCCTGCTACGTCGACGACATGTAAGTGACCTTTCCTCATGTGCACGCCTGAACATTTCTCATGTAAGGAGTCAAGACAGGACACTGTGGTGCCTTTATATCATTGCAACATATTATGGGATGTATTAACATTTTAAAAGAAAGAGTGTGAAAGAGATTTCTAGAAAGAGTACAAAGCAGCTTCTTTTTAAAGATTTATTTTTGGGCTTGTTGTGCCTTTAATGGAGAGATAGGACAGTGGATAGAGTTGGAAATCAGGGAGAGCGAGAGAGTGGGGAATGACATGCAGGAAAGGAGCCACAGGTGGGATTTGAAACTGGGCCGCCCGCTTAGAGGACTATAGCCTCCATACATGGGGCGCGTGCACTAACCACTGCGCCACCAGCGCCCCACAAAGCATCTTCTGTACGAGCCTGAATGTCTCACTGGCCGCTCAGTGATTGCAGAAAATGAACATCATCAGTCCTGCCTGCACGTGGCGGTGAATTCTCCTGAATATTTCCTGCTGCATTCATTAATGAACTCACCTTGACTTCCTGCAGTAACATCACAAGGTGCTGGCAGAGAAATGTCTGCTAAAGGCAGGGTGGGGATATGTGGAAATTTGTGTTCACAAACACAGCTCACCTGTTACACTTTGGGAACATTTTCAGAGGTTTTTGACCCTATAAGTCTTTTCCTCTCTTCGGCTTCAGTTTCCTGCGAGTGATGAGCCGCTCCATGCCTCTCTTCATGACCCTGGCGTGGATGTACTCCGTGGCCATCATCATCAAGGGCGTGGTGTACGAGAAGGAGGCTCGTCTGAAGGAGACCATGAGGATCATGGGACTGAACAACGGCACCCTGTGGCTCAGCTGGTTCATCAGCAGCTTGATCCCGCTGCTGATCAGCGCCGCCTTGTTGGTGGTGTTATTAAAGGTCAGTGTTGCCACGGACACGCACACACAAATATGACTTTAAACATTGTCAACATGCAGGAATGTCAGCAAGCTTACTAATCTTGATGGTTATAGTCACCATTTGACTCAATAGTCAACCTGTTCTTTTTTTTCTTGACTTCAACACTTCATTGTCCGGGAATCATGGAAAACAAATGAAGTCATGATGTTGTAACCAAGAAAGTATTTAATTTCCTCCCTGCCTCCCTCCACAGATGGGAAATCTGCTGCCTTACAGTGACCCAGGCGTGGTCTTTCTTTTCCTGGGATCCTTTGGCGTCGTCACCATCATGCAGTGTTTCCTCATCAGCACCATGTTCTCTCGCGCCAACCTGGCAGCCGCCTGCGGGGGCATCATATACTTCACCCTCTACCTTCCCTATGTGCTGTGTGTGGCATGGCAGGACTACGTCGGCTTCGCAGCCAAAGTTATAGTGGTGGGTGGAAGGGCTTTCTTTCAATCCTTTGCATGCTCACACATCAGTTTTTTAAAAATATTATTACCCCTCTAATCGTCTCTCTCGTTCTTCTTCCAGAGCCTGCTGTCTCCTGTGGCTTTTGGTTTCGGCTGTGAGTACTTCGCCTTGTTTGAGGAGCAGGGCGTTGGGATCCAATGGTCCAACCTGCTGGCCAGCCCTCTGGAGGAAGACAGCTACAACCTGACCACCTCTATCTGCCTCATGCTGTTTGACGCTTTTCTGTACGGAGTATGACATGGTACATCGAGGCAGTGTTCCCTGGTGAGTCTTTGATAATGGCATCAAGTCATAAATCACATTAGGTACTTTTGGTTTGTTTTAATTAATGCTTTGTGAAAGAGGGGCAGATATTATTCATTCAAAATTTGAGATTTTATGTTTGTTTGTTTGTTTTTCTTAACTTTATTGTTTGTTTGAATGAAATAAAATGTACAAATAAACAAATAAACATCTGAATCTCTCGCTGAAAATCAAGGACGTACGGTGAAATACAGAAATCTTTAGTTTGTCATAACTGTGAAAATACACTTATTCCTGATTACAGGTCAGTACGGGATTCCCAGGCCGTGGTACTTCCCTTTCACGAGGACGTACTGGTGCGGAGAGAAGGAGAACCACAACCTCTCCACCCCTATATCTAAGAAGGGAAACGCTGAAGGTACCAATCATGATCATAACGGCCACCATAAAACTTCAAATATAAGTCAACCCCAATTAAATGCACCTCGCCTCTTGTAGTGTCTGCACGTTTTCCCTAAGAAACACCTGGACTGTTATTGAAGTGTCCTCGTCTTTATGTCACCCGCAGCTGTGTGCATCGAGGAGGAGCCAGGCCACATCGAGCCAGGCGTTTACATCGAGAATCTGGTGAAAGTCTACAGTCATGGAAACAAGCTGGCCGTAGACGGACTGTCCCTGAGGTTTTACAACGGACAGATCACCTCCTTCCTCGGCCACAACGGAGCGGGAAAGACCACCACCATGTAAGAGACCGCACACATGTACCTGCAGTAGATTTACAAAGCTACCAAAGTACCACTGGCGAAAAAGAAAACTCTTTTATTCCCACTGCAATACGCATTTTAAACAAGGCATGATAAGCAATGTTTTTTAAATGCTGTGCATATGTGTTTTTACCTATTTAGGGTACTTTTAGCTATTTAAGACCTAATGTGAGTGTTAGTGTGAATGTTTGTATGTTTTCATGTTGAGCCTCAACAAAAGGTAATTTTCTGTCACAATGTGATAGACAATAAAGTTTTTTGACTCTTGAATCTTGAATCTTGAAGCTGAGTCTGGACGGCAACTGATATGTCCCTCTCTGCTTTCTGATAGGTCGATCCTGACGGGGTTGTTTCCACCGACCTCTGGAACAGCCTACATCCTCGGCAAAGACATCCGCACGAGCTCAGCGCCATCCGGCAGAATCTGGGCGTCTGTCCCCAGCACAACGTACTTTTCAGCATGTACGTCTGCACCTCAGATATTCATATTTTAACAGTCAAACATTGAGAATTCTCTGCACGCTCACAGCCTCTGGTGTTCTGTAACCGTGTGATTTCTGGTTTGATGTCCTCCAGGCTGACGGTGGAGGAACACATCTGGTTCTACGCCCGTCTGAAGGGGTTGCCCGAGGAGATGGTGAAGGCTGAGATGGAGCAAATCGTGAATGATGTCGGACTGCCGCACAAGCGCCAGTCCCGCACGAGCACGCTGTCCGGTCAGTTTCATTGTTTTGAATTTCACATGAAGTATGAGTCCGGCTTTGAAGAAAGATTGACTGACTCCTTCTTTCTTCTTCTTGTCTTTTGCAGGAGGGATGCAGAGGAAGCTGTCTGTGGCTCTGGCGTTTGTTGGAGGCTCAAAGGTCGTGATCCTTGATGAACCGACTGCTGGGGTCGATCCCTACGCACGCAGGGGCATCTGGGACCTTCTGCTAAAATACAGACAAGGTAAATACAACAGATAATATACTCCTCATCGGGGCACTGGTGGCGCAGTGGTTGGTGCGCGTTCCCCATGGTGTGGAGGCTGTGGTCCTCAAGGCGGGCCGGCCCGGGTTCAAGTCCGGCCTGTGGCTCCTTTTCCGTATGTCATTCCCGACTGTCTCTCCCTGATTTCCAGCTCTATCCACTGTCCTATCTCTCAATTAAAAAAAGGCACACAAAGCCCAAAATAAATCTTAATCTTGGATTTAACCTCTGGAGGTGATCAGAGAGAGAGAGAAATGGACGACGTCTCATGTCAAATGTGAAACTTGAGAGTTGCTTTTTAAACATCGTTCTGTGGCTGGTGGGCTGAATGCATCCCCTTTTGTTCCTCTCGTCAGGCCGCACCATCATCCTCTCCACCCATCACATGGATGAAGCCGACATCCTGGGGGACCGCATCGCCATCATCTCTCACGGCAAGCTGTGCTGCGTCGGCTCCTCGCTCTTCCTGAAGACCCAGCTGGGCACGGGCTACTACCTGACCCTGGTCAAGAGGGACTACGACCTGACGCTTCAGTCGTGCAGGAACTCTGCCAGCACCGTCTCTTACTGCAAGAAGGCCGAGAAGGTGAGAGAAGATGTTCGATGGAAATATATTTTTAAAGATGTTTTTGAAGTCTTCTGTCCAGATTGTTTACCCCCTTTCATTCTGCCTCAGGAGGACAGTGTATCAGAGAGCAGCTCAGACGCCGGTCTAGGCAGCGAACCAGAGAGTGAAACCACCACGATTGGTAAGACGCTCGTTCAACTTTCAAAGTGGAAAAGCTTGAGAATAAATGTTCTCTTCCCTCCTGTTTCACCGAACCGCTCACTCTTCCGACTGATTCTCCTCACCACAGATGTGTCCCTCATCTCCAACGTGATCTTCAAGCACGTCCACGAGGCCCGCCTGGTTGAGGATCTCGGCCATGAGATCACGTACATCTTACCTTACCAGTCAGCTAAAGATGGAGCCTTTGTGGAGCTCTTCCACGAGCTGGACGACCGACTCACCGACCTGGGAATATCCAGCTATGGAATATCTGATACCACCCTGGAAGAGGTGAGAGCAGCCCAGAGATGTGTTTATAGATTATCATGTTTGTATGATCTTGTGTCAATGTTTTAATCGGGGTCTTTCTCCTCTGCAGATTTTCCTGAAAGTGGCTGAAGACAGTGGAGTGGATGCTGTTGAGCTTTCAGGTCAGACTCATGATGCATTTTCAGTCTAGAGAGAAAGATTCAGAGCACGGGCACACACATTCAACATAAGCTTTAAAACACTACTCAGACGTAGTCAGAGCTCCTGCAGATCCTTAAAAAGTTACATTATACATATATCTTTATTATTTTTACCTACAAGATACAATATGTGGATTTGGCCACCAGGGGGCTCTCAATCGATACTACAGTAACAAAAGATGGCGTCGAGGCTAGCGGGGAATCATGGGAGTTCTCTCTGCTACTCCCCGCCCCCCGGTGAAAACGAACTCCGCATTGACCGTAGTCATGACAACCGGGCGAAACCGACCTGAGAAGAGAATATGTTTACAGACGAGCTAATATATCAGAGAATAATTTACATGATGTTTTTATCACAGTAGCTCATTCAGCAACAGGACGACAGCTCTCAGTAGCAGCTCACGCTTCCTTATGCAGCGGTCTTTGACGTATCATTCGGTGTTTCCACGGCAACGATAAACATGTTGCGTCTGTCATGGCGGCCGCCTTGACAAGACACGTCCCGTTACAAATATAAAATTACAGATTTCTCTGACTTTGATAAAGGATAATATTTGAGGTTATGTGAGTACTCAACAAAAAAACATAATGTAGGTTTCAAATTTAGATCTGCAAAAATGTGAAAAATCTGTGTTGATTATTCTTTGTTTGGGTCTTTAGAAGATTTTAAAATGTACTAAATCAGATTCTCTCACTGCAGACGGAGTCGTTCCAACCCGGACCCGCCGCCATCATGCCTTCGGAGACCACCAGTCCTGCCTGAAGCCCTTCACCGAAGACGACTTTGATTTTAACGACTCTGAAGGTGACCCAGGTAGAACTGCACTACCCAGCATGCAGTGCAATGATAACAACAGATGTGTTGCTTATGATTGCTTTAGAAATTAGTCGTCGAATAGTTTTAATTACGGCTTAAACGCCGGGACACAGACTGGGCGCGTTGCGTGTTTGCTCATGTGTTTCCTCGGTGTCTGTGTGCAGAATCCCGTGAGACCGATTGGCTCAGCGGAACAGACGGCAAAGGTTCGTACCAGGTGAAAGGATGGAGCCTGAAGAGGCAGCAGTTTGTTGCACTGCTCTGGAAACGGTTCCTCTACGCTCGGCGCTCCAGGAAAGGCTTTTTTGCTCAGGTACACCCGATGCTCTGACCACACATCCAACTTTAAATGAACAGCTTGTCTTCTTACCGTCCATCAGCCACCAACAATTTTGAATTTGAATTGTTATTTTTTTCAGATCGTTCTTCCCGCTGTGTTTGTGTGCATCGCCCTCATCTTCAGTCTGATTGTTCCTCCTTTTGGAAAGTACCCGAGTCTGGCTCTGGATCACAGCATGTACGGAGAGCAGTTCACCTTCATCAGGTCAGACATCTTTCTTCACTCTTCTACTCGTTTTCTAAATATGGAAACATTTTCTATTCTGATCTGTAAAGTGCACAACTCATTAAAGATGCACAAGATAATCTAAGGTCTGCGCATTACCTCATGCACTGCTTCACCAAGCTCAGCTGTTAAAGGAAGTCTCTGTGAAACTGACAATATGGAAGATAACGCCTTTTTATGCACGGCTTCAGTCTTAACTTAACGTGTCTCATACTCGTACTGAGAGGACTTGTAAGACATTCTGTTAAAGCTCTGTATTATCAGAGGGTACAATCATGTAATGATATAAGTGTTTAATTAAAGGGTATGTGTTTTGTCTTTCTGTCTAGTAATGACCTTCCTGAAGACCCTCACATCAACAAACTACTTGGAGCTCTGACGGATAAACCAGGATTTGGAACTCGCTGCATGGGAGGACAGCCGATACCGTGAGTTGGCATTCATTTAAAATCTAAATGAATTTATAGAACCTAATTTATTTAGAATTTATTTAACCTCACTCTTAATGAACATCACCCCTCATTTAAGTCGCACCTTTAATGTTTGCACTCACTGTTATTTAATGTCTGTTTTTTGATAATCTTCTTTTTAAACATTGCTGTACATATATAAACAACACAACAGAAGGTCAACACTTTTTTATGTTTTATATTCAGGTCTAATTTTTTCTCAACTGTTTATAGGTGCTTGTTTAAATTGCACATATATTTTTATCCCTACACGGGTTATGTACATTTCTTGTATAAGTCTATTTTTAATTGCACAGTTTAAGTTTGATTCATCTAAGGGTATTCTTAAATATTTTTTTCAGGTTAATATATATGTATGGGAGGGGGGGGCGTCGGTTTTGTGGTTAATTTGTAACAAATGTTTCATGTCATGTACGTCTTTGTAACCTGCTACTGGATGCTTTGAATTTCCCTCACGATTGATAAAGTATCTATCTATCTATCTAGAAAGGCTCGAAAAGCAACTCACTCCTTAACTCGTGTCTATCTGTAATCTTCAGGGACGGTCACTGTACCGAGGTCAAGGACGAGTGGTCGGTCCCACCGGTCTCGCCGAGTGTGAAGGACTTGTTCGACACAGGGAACTGGTCCATGGAGGACCCGTCTCCCCTGTGTGAGTGCAGCTGTGGCGGACGCAAGAGGATGCTGCCAGAGTGTCCCGCTGGTGCCGGGGGACTCCCACCACCGCAGGTTTGTGGCGCCAAGAAATTTGAAAAGTCAATCAGTGCAAACGTATGAAAACATGTGGACGCTCTTTTTCCCTTTTGAACACAAATACAAGCAAGCCGATACAGATGTTAAAGGTAATGCGTTCATGAGGATAAGAATAAGGCACGGGAATTACACGGTTTTTATTTTAAATCGCATTAATCCGATAAATTAACTGCAGCGGTTGCTGAAAGTGAGGCTACTGACTTCTCTCCAGTCAACATCTGGAACGACTCGGGTCTAAAGGACATCCTCAGGTTGGCCTCAGGTTGGCATGTTGTGACCAGTTATGTCCCTTACTGACGCAGGAAACAGTAATTAAACAGGAGCTGTACAATGCAAAAGTGCAACATCCTGCAGTTCCTCGAGTGTCCACTAGAGGCTGGCTGCAGAAGCACAGGAAGTCACATACACACCCATTCTAAAAAGCCTGTTTTTACAGCAGAGATTAACATGTTTACAGCCTGGTTCAAAAAACCAAACAGCTCTCCCCATGTACAGAGGCTTTAGTCCTTCAAGTGGGCAGCCCAGGTTTGAACCTGACCTGTGGCTCCTTTCTCACTCCCTCTCTCCCTCTCTCTCTCTCTCCCTTTCTCTCGCTCAAAAATAAATCTTTAAAAACTTCAATCATTGCAATCTAAAACAAATTTTAACAAACTGTTTGGTCTGTTTGTGTTTCCAGATGATGATCAGTGAGAAAGACACTCTTCAGAATTTGACCGGCAGAAACGTCTCCGACTACCTGGTGAAAACCTACGCTCAGATCATCGGCAAAAGGTAACGCTAACTTCCAACTGCTTCTGCTTGTTCACGCTGCGTTGTGTTTTTAAGTTCAAAGACGAGATATTTAACCGTCTGTTTCTTCTCTTGCAGCTTGAAGAATAGATCTGGGTCAACGAGTTCAGGTACGCTGTCAGGCCTAATCCATCCTGAGTTTACCCGTCAGTCATATCGAGCTGTGTGCCTCTCCTTTACTGATATTAAAAACCCTCCTTCTCCTCACAGATACGGCGGCTTCTCGCTGGGCGCCAGGAGCTCTCAGCTTCTTTCCCAAACCGATAACATCGACGACGCGATCACTCAGCTGAGGAGACGCTTCCGCCTGGAGAGAGTAAGAGAGACTTTTACATGTTTAGTATTTTACTCAGTATTAAAGTAATGCACAAGAAGAAGAAGAACGTATTTATGTTTGAATAAAAACAGATGATATAGAAGTAGACTCGTTAGACCTGTTCCGCCCATGTGCTAAAAAACACTCTCCCTCTTCCCCGTCCTCCAGGGAACTGCAGCAGATCGTTTCTTTCACAGCCTCTCCAGTTTTATCGAAGGATTGGACACCAAGAATAACGTCAAGGTCAGCACACACACACACACACACACACACACACACACACACTCTCCTGTTATACAACTGCACGTGGCTCGTAGTGTCACCGGAACTGAAACGCATCGCTCTTTTTTTCTCTGCAGATCTGGTTCAACAACAAGGGCTGGCACAGCATCGGCTCCTTCCTCAACGTGATGAACAACGGCATCCTGCGGGCGAGTCTGAAAGGCGGCAAAGACCCGGCGAAGTTTGGCATCACCGCTTACAATCACCCGCTCAACCTCACCAAGGAGCAGCTGTCACAAGTCGCACTGTGAGTAAAACTGTACATTTAAAAAAAAAAAAACATGTAGAATCAGAATCGGGTTTTATTGCCAAGTACATTTACACATACAAGGAATTTAACTTGGTGTATTGGTGTATTGGAGAATTAAATAAAAAAAGACAAAATGTACAAAAGGTGTAATGTAGGAGCTGTGTAGTGGACTAGGAGAAAAAAAAAACATATTCATCTCTGCTCTCCCTCTCGCAGGATGACCACATCGGTGGACGTGCTGGTGTCCATCTGCGTGATTTTCGCCATGTCCTTTGTTCCGGCCAGTTTTGTGGTGTTCCTCATCCAGGAGAGAGTGAACAAGGCCAAGCACCTGCAGTTCATCAGCGGAGTGCAGCCTTTCCTCTACTGGCTGGCCAACTTCGTCTGGGATATGGTAAGAGAGCACCTAACCCCTAACCCACATGATGCCCGTTCATGTCCTGAAATATGCAGCACGATGAGCTCGACCTTCACCCTCCTTTCTCTCCGTCTTTTTCAGTGTAACTACATCGTGCCTGCGACTCTGGTCATCATCATCTTCATGTGTTTCCAACAAGACGCCTACGTCTCCTCCACCAACCTGCCCGTTCTTGCTCTGCTGCTGCTGCTCTATGGGTACGTTTTTTTACACTCTCTCTCAGTTCGTTTGGCTCCTCCTCCTTTTGATTATTTCTCTCCTCGAACATCATCTCTGTATCTCTCCACAGATGGTCGATCACGCCTCTGATGTACCCGGCTTCATTCTTCTTTAAGATCCCCAGCACGGCCTACGTGGTCCTGACCAGCGTCAACATACTGATTGGAATAAACGGCAGCGTCTCCACGTTTGTTCTGGAGCTGTTTGGAAGCAATGTGAGTCCTTTTTTATTCAGAGAGTAAACACAGACGTGCTTGCTTGTTCAGGATCAGATACTGACTGTACTTCTTTCTTTTTAAGGAAATCGGCGGCATCAACAACATCCTGAAGAACGTGTTCCTCATCTTCCCTCACTTCTGTCTCGGCCGAGGGTTGATTGACATGGTGAAGAATCAGGCCATGGCTGACGCTTTGGAGAGATTTGGTAATTACAGCAGAATCATAACGCAAGCTATGCATCCTTAAATGTTTATTTACAAGAGACATAGAATTTATTTTTTATTCAAATGTCTGCCCCCCCCCCTTTCTGGCTCTAGGTGAAAACCGGTTCCGCTCCCCTCTGGCCTGGGACATGGTGGGGAAAAACCTGTTTGCAATGGCGGTAGAGGGCGTGGTCTTCTTCTGCATCACCGTCCTCATTCAGTACCGCTTCTGCATCAAAGCCAGGTGTGTGAAACTTGTTTTCATGACTAAGATGATTCAAACTCTCTCTGGGAGAAGAAGCCTCGACTATTTTAACAATATTGTACAGAAGTCACAGAGCGGTGAATGAGGGACGAGTTTAGGCCGCGTGTGCCTGTCGAGGAAACTAATGACCAACGGTCACATCAGATTGGAAACGTGCAGCCGTTCATTTATAGTCCATGGTTTTAGGATTCCAATAATCCACACAAATGTGACTTCTAAACATCCAAAACAAAGTCAGTGTTTTAGTTTGTACGGACAAAAACTGTAAGACCTGCACAGCATACACCAACACTCTCCCTAGTGTTCAGTGTCGGTATTACACTTTTTATAAAGAGAAATCTTGTTATTACAAAGGTCTCGTTCAAACACATATTTTTGGCTCCAACGCCTTGTACCTCTGTCTGGAGTGTGACCTCTCCTCCCTCTCGTGTCCCTCCAGGTCGTCCACCAGTCACCTGAAGCCGATCGGAGAGGAGGACGAGGACGTGGCCAGAGAGCGGCAGAGGATCCTGAGCGGAGCGGGACAGTCGGACATCCTGGAGCTCAGACAGCTCACCAAGATTTACAAGCGGAAACAGAAGCCAGCAGTGGACCGGCTGTGTGTGGGCATCCCCCCTGGAGAGGTACGACAGACACAGCCCATAAACACCTGACACACACATGATTCCTCACCAGACTCCGATGTTGACCGCCTTTTTTTTTTTTTTCACCCGTGCAGTGCTTTGGTTTGCTGGGAGTGAACGGCGCGGGGAAAACCAGCACCTTCAAGATGCTGACAGGAGACTCTGTGGTCACCGGCGGAGAGGCCTACCTAGCTGGCAAGAGGTAAGAAACATTCAACAGGCTTTTCTCGGTGATTCAGGCTGCCTGGCTGCTCCGAGGAGTAAGCACAGTAGTATTTTCTCAGTATGAACAATGTAATCAAAGGCACTTGAAATTAATATCGAATCAAGGCGGCACAATGCAATCCCCTCCCACTCCTTCCAGAGAATGAGCAGCTGATTAGCCGAGGAAATTCGATACGAGACTCATTCTGTGTTTCTCTCTCCAGTGTGAACACAGAGATAGACGAGGTGCATCAGAATATGGGCTACTGCCCTCAGTTCGACGCCATCAACGACCTCCTGACTGGCAGAGAGCACCTCGAGTTTTACGCCATCCTGAGGGGAGTGCCGAGAAGGAAGTGTGCGAGGTCAGAAACAGACACACACACACACACACACACACACACACACACACACACAACACACACACACACACACACGGGTTAAAACTCTTTCATTCACACTCAGTCATTTGAAAAAGAAAAGATGTTTAACACTGGTGCATATTCCATCTTGTCCACCAGGTGGCAGAGTGGGGCATCAGGAAGCTGGGCTTGGTGAAATATGTGGACAAATCAGCGGGCAGCTACAGTGGAGGAAACATGAGGAAACTGTCCACCGCCATCGCCCTCATTGGAGGACCTCCGGTGGTCTTTCTGGTCAGTGGATCATTTTTTAATCGTATAAAAAGAAAAAAAATCACTGAAACACGACAGCAGGTTCATGTTCCTGAAGACAGAGGAATGTGTTTAACAGTGAATATAAGCCCCAGCTGAGCGTCTGTTGTCCTCTGTTCACAGGACGAGCCAACCACAGGCATGGACCCTAAAGCACGCCGCGCTCTGTGGAACGCCATCCTGAGCATCATCAAAGAGGGCCGATCCGTAGTCCTCACCTCACACAGGTTAGACTACACGTCTGAATAACACTGAACTGTGTAACTATGAATCAACATGCCGTTAATCATCTTCTTTTATGGTATTTACACCGACACGCCTCGCCTCTAACGTGTGTGTTTCTGCAGCATGGAGGAGTGTGAAGCGCTCTGCACCAGAATGGCCATCATGGTCAACGGCAGGTTCCGCTGTTTGGGCAGCGTGCAGCATCTCAAAAACAGGTGAGCACAGGCTTTCCCAGAAGCTCAAACGCACCACCAGAGAGAGAGAGAGAGAGAGAGAGGATCGGTTTTCTTACCCGTGCCCCACAAACGATGCAGCTGACTGAAACGCGCTCTCGTCCTGTTCTCCTCAGGTTCGGCGATGGATACACCATCATCCTGAGGGTGGCGGGCCCGGACCCAGACCTCCGGCCGGTGATGGGGTTCATCGAGCGGGAGCTTCCTGGCAGCACGCTGAAGGAGAAACACCGCAACATGCTGCAGTACCAGCTGCCATCCTCCCTTACCTCGCTCGCCCGCATCTTCTCCCTGCTCTCTACCAACAAGGAGGCGCTCAGCATAGAGGACTACTCCGTCTCCCAGACCACCCTAGACCAAGTAAGCATGCTTTAAAGACGTATGTGTAGAGGTACACCCCCTTCTTTAGCGTAACGCCTCCATGCCTGAACGCCAGCCAGTTTTGTAACAAAGCGGCTGAGCTGACCATGACCTCCTGTGGTTATTACACTTACTACTACGACTAAAAGTCCGATCTGTCACTTTAAAAATGTATCTTCCTTACATGCGCTCTGTGAGTAGTTACATACATTAAGATTTTTTCTCATAGTCCACTACACAGCTCCTACATTGCACCTTTTGTACATTTTGTGTTTTTTATTTTTTATATTTTATAATTTAACATTTTTAAATTCTATTTTATATATTGTAATAGCTTCTTAAACTGTATTATTTAAGTTGTTGCTAGTTCTGCGTTATTTCCCTGTTAATTGTTTAGCACCAATACACCAAGTCAAATTTCTTGTATGTGTAAATGTACTTGGCAATAAACCCTGATTCTGATTCTGATTCTACAGACGGCTCTAGCTGTGACATAGCCGTGTCTATTCAGCGTGATTGATTCCCGGCTCCTCCTCTTTTCTCTCCTGCAGGTGTTTGTAAACTTTGCCAAGGACCAAAGCGACGAGGACCATTTGAAAGACGTCCACCTGAACAAGAGGGACGCTGTGGTCGTGGACATTTCCCAGCTGAACTCTTTCCTAACGGACGACAAGACCAGGGAGAGCTGCGTCTGACTCCACCGCTCACCATCAGCTGAGGAGCTGAGACGCCCTTACCCATCCACCATCTCCCCCTCCCCCCTCACCCAGAAAAACATGGACCACTAACCTTTGTGGGGGGGACAGACTATGTTCTTTTATTTTTAATTCTATTTTGTAGTCTTTTTTAATTGTTATCATTTCTCAGTGGACCTGCACTTCAGCGCACAGCCTCCTGAAGAAGGCAGAGACTGCAGACACTGGAGCGATGAAAACTCAATGCAAATCAATGCAAGAAATATATAAAAACATATATTTAAAGATGAGAAGATATTCCTGTGAGGGGTGGAGACAGGTGCTCCCTCCTTCACTAAGAAAGAGACTCCGAACACTTGAAGGGTCAGCGGGATTCAAATCCTGCACTCGACTGGAACTCTTCTTGTAGCCCTGCTGCTCGCTCAGCGAACACGACGTCGGGGACGACTGAAGGAAACATCTCGACCTGTGCTCCTCAAAGTAATCAGCGATCGATAGTGAGACTGTGTGTGTGCTACTCTCACCAAAAGCTTTGATCATTCACTGCCAGAAGGACAGACTATTTTTTTATTCTTGCTCTTTCTTCGTTACCAAGCGCAGTTGTTTTGTAACGGGCATAAAGAAACTTTTACAGTCCCTCTGATTTCACTCACAGACAGAAATCATGCAAATATTCATTTCTACTAATTCGATTTGTTTCGCATTATTTAATTCTAACAGATGAAACCTCTACAGAGTGTTTTCTGTCAACAACAAGTAAGACTGATGACGAGGCCGTCGTCTTTTTTTCTCGTCGTCCTCTTGTCATCGACATCGTCCAGCACCGTGCCTATACTGTATCATGGTGGAGAGAGAAATCTGAGCACTCCATTGAAGTATGTGGGCTGCTAAGGAATGTATACGAGCGATACCATCATGCATCCAAGCACAACAAAAAGTGAGCTTTTTGTGAAGATGATGAACTCGACTGTTTCTTTTTATTTTTTATTTTATTGTGTCGTTTCATTGTCAAAAACAAACAAAAAAAAAATCTTGTGGTTGCTCGATGTCTGTACATGACGGCGCAGTCTGCTACACTGGCCGGTTTTTTACTCGCCCTGGAACTGAAGGACGACCGGAACAGAGCCACGATGACCAATCACGACCTGGCAGGTGTGACTGTAACGAGAAAGCTGAAGATGTATTTGTGGCAGGGGGCTTTTGTAAGATGGAAATATATACCGCATGCTTTCCACTCTGGGCCGCACACACCTAGACTATCAGCACCTCTGTGTGTGTGTGTGTGTGTGTGCAGGTGCGTGTGTGTGTGCAGGAGCATGCCGTAAGATCAGCTTGTAACGGAGCGGAGTCAACTGAAATGTGCTTCATTGTTGTCGCATTACTGTCGCATACAGAAACGTGGAGTCTAAATCAAAGTTTTCTTGTAAAAAAAAAAAAATCTGTATGAAAATGAAAATGTGATTTTTTTAGGGCGAGATAAATGAGAAAGAAAACGTTTCTGTGTCGCTTCCACACGTGAGAGGACACTGTCACATCTCCTCCTCCTCGTGTGGCGATCTTTTAAGCGGCGAGAACCTTTTCCTTTTTCTGTGCGAGGGCTCCACCATGGAGAGAGTTTTATAAAAACCTGAGCCAGCTCCAATGTGGATATTATGTACAGTAGCAGTTTTGTGATGTTGAGTCAGAAAAATACAAACATTATCTGTGCCAAAAGGAGCTGAACATGTATCTTTGATCAACCAGCATCATGTGGAGGAGGAAACTGTTGAAAGCTCCTGTGAGAAACTTTCCGTTTGTATTGAGTTTGGCGCCCCCCTAAGGACGGAGCGGTGCATCTTATCCCCTGTCTGCTCTCGTCCTTTTCATGCCCAAGTAGTGTTTTACTGAAAAATATTGATGCATCAGTATTAATTTCAGTCTGTTTGATAACCAGCTGAAAACTCCTCACAGGAGCTTTAAGTTCTGCTTTTTTTTTTTTTTTACCATCCTCCTTTCGAAAACAAAAAAGCACATTTTAAGTCCAATCCGTGCGCACTCATTTTAATTTATTTTCCAATATCTTCTGGTGGAGTTGCCAAAATTCTAATCTTCAGTCAAAGCTGCCACTCTCAAGTTTACTGTCGTGTCAGTAACTCGGAGTCTAGAAGAGAAGTCGGACACTTCGCACAAAATGTTTCCAGCGTTAGTCCAGAGGCCGGACAAACACCAAACAGGGACCACGTTTATTAGGAGATGTGCTTGTAATGCTTTATAGTCCAAAAAACAAACTAACCCAGGGTTTCATATAATGACAGGTAGTCATTACAGGTGCTCTGTGTCACGTTAAATATATTCCGAGGTGATTTCTGTGATCTTGGGTATCTAATCTTTGCGGAGAGGAGTCACACGTCCTCTCGGCGTAACATGAGCACTTTATAGACTTCAGAGACGATTGCGTCGAAGACTTAGAAGAAAAGATTTCAGACTTTAGACATTTAGAGAAACAACTCTCGGATTTTAATTCACACAAAATGAAGCTACACCTTCAGAGTGCAGCGTGTGTTGGACACATGATGAAAAGACGCTGAAGGCGTTCATGTGGATGAGAGATAACGAGAGAAACGGGACAGTTCAAAGGTGGTGACTTTTCTCTTCTCGTGCTCAATATTATTATTTGTTTACATTTCTAAGTATTGAACAGCTGTTTGAGTCTGTTACTCATTGTGTATAGTTATTCTTTGCATTAATAAATAAAGACATTCATACATTTTGAAAAAAAAAACAAGAGTCCTGATTTGATTATTGTTTTGCTTTTCTCTTGCCGTAGTTTGTGTGTGTGTGTGTGTGTGTGTGTGTGTGTGTGTGTGTGTGTGTGTGTGTGTGTGTGTGTGTGTGTGTGCGCTTGTGGTTGATGACTGAGCTAAAGGGAGTGTTCACTGTTAATGTGTGTCGATGACCATAAGTTCTAGAGTGAGCATGTGATTGTGTGTCTGTTTTCCACCTGCTGCACTCCCACAGTCACACATACACACACACCCTCTGTCTCACACATACACACACCCTCTGTACACACACACACACACAACACACTGGATTATACTGGCTGCAAAAACAGATAAACTCAGACGTTTCTGTCACTCCGAGTTATTCATCCACCGACATCCACCGACAACATGAACGGACGACTTGTTTTTCTGGGACTGCTGTTCGTCTGTGTGGCTGCAGGTAACACGCAGAATTAAACACTCACCTGTTGTTGTTGTTGTTGTTGTTGTTGTTGTACGTCAGACTGTTGTCATGTTTAAAACCTTTAGATTTAAAACCAAAGAATCAGTCATAGGGATTGGCTACTCCCTAAATGTTTTCCCTCCTTGTGTTTTAATTCTTCCTTTAAGCTTTTATGAAATACGACACGTTGATCTTGAATTTGAAACAGTGACATAGAGACAAATATACGACTCAACATACTAGTTAGAGAATAGAATAGATGTTATTGCCATTTGCACAGGTAAAGAACAGTTATAGGTACGTTTGAATTTATGAGTGTTGGTCCTCGAGTCAGCTTTACAAGACAGAAAAGATGGAAAAGCATTAAGTGTTCTAAAGTGTCTTACTCTTTCTGCTTTAGTCCTTTGCCAAGGTGCTGATTAAAGTGCAGAACAAATGTAAAGAAAAATGACACAGGATTGTAAAATACAGACTTTCTTTATGTATAAAATGAGGCATTGTGTTAAAGGTGACATATCCTCCTCCTATTCAACCAGTTTAAATAAGTCGCATTGCTCCTCAAAACATGTGTGTGAAGTTTCTTGTTCTAAATCCACTCTGATCCTGTATTTGATCATGAACTATAAACCCCTCTATTTCAGCCCTGCTCAAAACAGGCTGTTTCTGTGTCTGTACCTTTAAATATGTAAATGAGCTGTGTCTGACCACGCCCCCTCTCTGGAAGGGCTTGAGTGTACTCTGTCTTTCACACTCCATGACCTATTGTTTACGGTGAAAAGGCAGACTCAGAGGGCAGAACAAACACCTAGCTGTGGGAGGGGCTACTGCCCTTTGTGATGTCATGAAGGGAAAATCGCCAAACGGCCAGTTTGAGCACATGTTTTCTGAAAAGTGGAGCAGGCAAAAGAGAGGATGGCCTTTTCTCATCATTGGGGGGTTTGTAGACAGACTAGAGACACATATTAGAGTTAGAGGAACATGGTGAAGTCGATTTTACAGAATATGTATCTTTTTGCCTCCTGATTAAATGTCTTGTACAAAGTGTGTTTATACTAATAATAAAGACAAAAGATAAATGAATAAACATTATTGCACAAAGTCACCATACTGCAGCAGGTCAGGTGTTGAAGGCGTGTATGTGTGGGGGGGTCGGGGTGGCGGCTACAGCTCTGAGGAAGACACTGCTTAGTCCGGATTTTCATTGTATGATATCTCTCTTTCGAGAGGTGAGGGGAGTGAATAATTAAGTGAGTAATTTTCACATTTTTACGTTTTACAAGTGCTCTGCTCTCTTTACAGCTGCTGGGGAGAACTCTGAGCTTTTGAGAAAGGTGGGTTTTGACAGAAGAATAACTTTAAGAAGATTATGACAGTATGTATGAATTCACGTCCTCCTGAGGTGAAAGAGAAAAAAGGTTTGTCTTATTGAATCCGGTGTGTTTGGCCCTTTGCGTCCCTTGCAGCCGTCCTGTTCTGACATGGGGGAGATCGTGGCGTGCCCTTTGAACCTGGCTCCTGTGTGTGGCAGCGATGGAAACACGTACGCTAACGAGTGTACCCTGTGTGCCGAGAGACAGTGAGTACACACACAGCTGCTTAATTCACAAAGCATCCATCCACACGTCATACATAAAAAAGGACGATAATGTGTCACAGGCGCCCTCTGGTGGCGGATGAATTCAAAGCGTGCAGCACAATACTGAACTCTGATTGGCTTAGAGGAGCAGCTGATTCAAATGACTGGCAGCTTTTTTTCCAGTTCAGTCTGTCATGCTTCAGTTGGTCTCTGCAGGGCGGTCACTTGTCATGACTGGAAAATTACGGAGAGCTCTGATGACCACATAAAGTTCTGTTTAATCTCTGTGTCTCAACCTCACTCACACAGTCAGGCGTTTTGTTTGAGTTTGCCGACAATGACTCAGCATAAAAAAGGTCACCACTAACTAACTATGTGATCTGGTTCTCCCTCCAGAATGACCAAGGTGGACATTTTGATCGCCAAAGACGAGAGCTGCTGACCAGGGACCAAGGATTTCTCTGCTAAGCTGACCAATCAGGATCTATAACCGACATTGATCTTTAAAATGATGAGATCTCTTCTGTCATGGCAATGATTAATAAACTTCAATCAGCTGACGACCTTCTAGTTTTGTGTTTTGAATCAATTGCATCTAAAACCAAAGCTCAAACTTGTATCTGCTGCAAGGAACTTTTTGCTTGTCGTTTTTTGGCTCCCCCTTGTGGACGAAGAGGGTACATGTGTAAGTTTGTTTTTGTATTGAAATCTAAGTTAAATGTTACTCTCGTGGAGAATCTGAAACCCTAAGCAGAGACTGGCCCGGGTAGGTTGATCGTAAAACAGTTTATTAAACAGAAAGATCAGGCGGTGGAGGCAGGGAGCTGGCTGACCAGTTGCACAAAGAAGGAAACAAACAAGAGGAAACAGGTGAAATATTTTATTGAGACGTTTCATCTTCTCACCCTTCATTAGATTCCCGTGATATTCCCAAATGATAAGATTGATAAATGTGTGTGAACAACCTGATTAGGAGACAAGCTGCTTTAGGGAGTCTGCAGATGACCGAGGAAATGTGCAAACACACGACTTCTAAAAAATCTCTGCAGACGAGCGTGTGCACATTTCCTCTCAGAGTTGAATCTAACTGGTGTCATGGTGGCTGCTCTCAAAGACGCTCTACGAGTACAAACCCAGCCGGATCACTCATATTTAAAGGACTGGAGGTGTCTGTGTATCGCTCTGAGACACTGACTGTTTGACCCTCACGCCCTGTGATGTCACTGCTGCGTCATGAGAGGCTCAATATTCATTTAATGTTTCAAAACCAGATCACACTACCACCTGATGTGAGGCAACACAGAGTTTAACGAAGAGCCCGTTAGCGGAGTCAAATTAAATTATATTAAGGCGACTTTTGGAACATTTTAAATTCTTTGGCAAAGGAGAACAAACGAGGAAATCTCAAAAGATTCGATTACGGCGTTATTATCCTCTTCAAATACAAAAACTCTTGGCCTCCCTCAGCACTTGGCCTTCTTGCCGTATTTATCAACGACTTCCGGTGTGACGCTCTGGTCCTCCTCCACACTCTCCGTCACCTTCTTTCCCACCAGCTCGTAGATGTCCTCGGCTCGGACGCCCATCGGCTCGGCCACCTTCACCGTCAACATGTCCAGAGTCAGCGTCGCTCCTTTGGGGATTTGGACCTTGGCCACCACTGATTTACCCAGCTGGAAGATAGATAGATAGATAGATAGATAGATAGATAGATAGATAGATACTGTATTGATCCCGAGGGAAATTCAAAGCATCCAGTTGCAGGTTACAAAGACGTACATGACATGAAACATTTGTTACAAATTAACCACAAAACCGAAAAAAAGTGTTGACCTTCTCTTGTGTTGTTTATATATGTACCGCAGTGTTTAAAAAGAAGATATTCTAAACAGACATTAAATAACAGTCAGAGAAGAGCGGCGTGTGAAAAAAA